GAGTAGCAAGGCATGGATGATAGATAGCCTCAGGCTGATGTACTTCAGGCAATTCCACTGAGCGTATATAGCTACCCTCAAGCCCTTACATCCACCAAATCAGCAAATCACAGGCACAAGCAAAACACAGAATTCAATCATGTAACAAGTAGAAATTTTGATATCCATCATCTCCCTCCCACCCAAACATCCAATTCCCATATCGAATATCCACCCACTTCATCTCAACCCCCACCTATGCAAATGCAAAACCCCCAACGCCACACCCATGTCGCCAAGAAAAACAAAGCACTAACATTAACCGTCCACGAGCAAAACTGTGCAAAAAGCAGCAACAGTTCGCAAATATCCGATATAATCGACTAGATAAAATAAAAGCCATGATATCATCTGCGAAAAGTGAAGTAGAGAAGAAGGAAAAAAAGGGTCGATGACGCTGCCGTCTCTCAATCTATCGGAAACCCGCAGCAAAAAGGGGATATACTCAGGAACCAAAGACGCTCACTCAGTCTGTAAAAAAAGTAAGAATAAAAACCACCAATCTCAAACTTTCCGATCAAGGAAAGTAGCAACAGCACAGTCTGTTTAGTGCTTGGGGCAGCAGCATACGTGTGGGCCACTCTCAATAACATCTTTGGTGGCTTGATCCTCGTACTTCTTGAAGTTCTCCATGAAGAGCTTGCCGAGCTTTTCGACTTCGCCCTTGAAGTCGGCGGTGCCGTTCCACGACTTTGCGGGGTTGAGCAACTCGTCGGGGACGTTGGGGCAGGTCTTGGGGACGGAGAGACCGAAAGTCTCGTAGGTTTCGTATTCGACCTTTGCGAGCTCGCCCGAATGGATGGCGTCGAGGATGGCGCGGGTGTACTTCAGCGGGCATCGCTTGCCACCTGTTGGTTGTTGTTAGCTATGGTTTGTGGCTTTGGTTTGATAGTTGAGGACTTACCAGTAGTCGCGCCAGCGCCTACCCAACCGGTGTTGAGAAGCCAGGCGTTGGCATTGTGCTCCTTGATCTTCTCCGCAAGCATCTTGGCGTAGCGCATGGGGTGAAGAGCAAGGAAGGGCTGTGCGAAGCAAGACGAGAAAGTGGCCTGGGGTTCGGTGACACCCTGCTCGGTACCGGCCATCTTGGATGTGTAACCAGAGATGAAGTGGTACATGGTCTGCTCGGGGCTAAGCTTGGAGATGGGAGGAAGAACACCACGTGCGTCGCAGGTGAGGAGGATGATGTTACTGGGGTGGTTCTCTGAGATGCAAGGAATCTTGGTGTTCTCAATGTACTCGATGGGGTAGGCGCAGCGGGTGTTCTCGGTCAAAGTGTCGTCATCGTAGTCTACCTGGCGGGTCACGGGGTCGAAGACGACGTTCTCAAGGATGGAGCCGAAGCGGATGGCACCGAAGATATCCGGCTCCTTCTCGGCAGACAGGCCAATGCACTTGGCGTAGCAGCCACCCTCGATGTTGAAGATACCAGTGTCGCTCCAGCAGTGCTCGTCGTCTCCGATCAGGGCACGCTTGGGGTCGGCAGACAAGGTAGTCTTTCCAGTTCCAGAGAGACCGAAGAATACGGTAACGTCTCCGCTCTGACCCTCGTTGGCTGAGGAGTGTAGTGTGAGGACGTTGTGCTTGACAGGCATCTCGTAGTAAAGCACGGTGAAAATTCTAAAAAAAAAAAAAAAGTTAGCAGGACTTCACAATGAGACCAACAGGATCACTTCACCCTTTTTTCATTTCACCAGCGTATTCAGTGCCGAGGATAACCATCTCCTTGTCGGCAAAGTTGAGGGCAACCGATGTCGACGATGTCATACCACTAGTGTACCTGTTGGCAGGGAAAGCACCAGCATTGTAAATAGTGTAATCAGGCTTGAAATGCTCAAGCTCCTCCTTTGAAGGTCGGATCAACATGTTGCGCATGAAGAGGGCATGGTACGCGCGAGCGCAAACGACTCGTACGCGTATCCGGTAGCGGACATCCCAGCCAGCGAAGCCATCGACGACATAGATGCGCTTCCTAGTGTTGAGGTAGTCAATGGCACGTTCACGGTTGATGCGCCAGACCTAGATGAAGATGTTACTAAAGAGTTGTAAAGACAAAGAAGTGTGCACGTGATAGTTTTCCGCATGGAGTTGCAATCGGCAACCGTCATGCATGGGAAGATGCGGGGCAGCCGAGCCCCAGACGCGCCACGTGCAGGGATGCGAACTCGAGCCGGGATCCGCCTAGCGTGCATGACGTCTACAACCAATCTTCACAAGCAAAATTACTTGCGACGATTGGCAAGTAGGCTTGGGCATGTGCAGAAGTAAAGTGCGGAGGTTGCTTACGTCGGTTTTCATCGGCTTGTTCACTGGGCCCCACCAGACATCGTTTTTCGACGAGTCTTCCTCGACGATACGCTTATCCGAGGGCGAGCGGCCCGTCTTAGCTCCTGAGTATGCGGAGAGAGCACCCGATGCTGTGATAGCCGAGCCAGTCTCGTATACGAGCGCGTCCTCGTAAAGAGCGGCAACTGAAGGGTTGGCAATCTGAGGAAAACGTTAGGCTGGTGGTTGTTGGTTACACGTGCAAAGGGGAAACTCACGATAGCTACACGGTCATAGTCAATGTGTGCCTTGTCATGAAGTGCTTCTTCAATCTCCGTGTGTTCCACGTTCGGCCTGAAATAAAATGGTCAGTCATATCCAACTGCAGACTAATTGGTCCAAGGACGGTGAGGGCACTCACGCAACGCCAGACGGGTGGAGATTTGTCTTGTTGACAGTTTGAGTGACCATTTTGGTGAAGAGTGGAGAGATGGAGGTGGAATGGAAATTAGAACGCTGATGTTTGGACACCTGTTGACGGACAAAGTCTTGGGCCAAGGAAGTTGAGCTTGTACTTCTAACGACGGGGTTCGAGGCTCCTTTAATACCACAAGAAACCATTCTGACGACGTCGTTCACGCTCAGTGTGTAAATACTGGCCCGAGAGCTCGCTAGCGTGTGGGGAGCTGATTGGACAAAGGTGAAGGTTTGGGTAATGGGAGTCCCGGTCGGCACACGAGGGACGAAAATAATGCGGAGCTGGGCACGAGAGCTGGCTGACTTCGGGAGGAGCGCCCGGCAAGTGTGACGAGCTCCAGCTTTATGGCTGAGACCCCTAGGACCGATCCACATGGAGATTCACAGTGCTCGCCAGCAGTGCCCAAGGCGAGGATTGAGGTCACAGTGGTGTCATCGAAGACGACTTTGCTCGCTGTACCGGAGCCCTTGTGACGGCTCCAGGACAGCGTGAACCGCTACTCTAGGGCTAGCATTGGCCTGACGCGCGGGGCTGATCAACTCTACCCCACAATCACCATGGCCGGGAACGGCAACGCTCAACCGCCTTTCGTCATTGTTTTCATTGGCCTGCATTTCATTACCACCATCTCGGCTTTGTCGAATTTTCTGGCAATATTATGGCCGCGCACGCTGCTGTGCATGATATCAAGCCGCGACCCTCGTCACGAGCCTGCGCTTCGTCACGGCAATCAGAAAAACATACAGGCTTAGACGCTGCGTTGGACGTCACGTTGGCAGTCGTCCATGCACACGAGCCAACATGGTCGCATCGCGTCGCACGGCAGATGGTGGCGGCCGCGATGAGGCGGTGCAAACAGTGTTCCGATTCCAGCTCGTGTGCCGTTTGAGATCCACACACACCCCTGCACCTCTCAGCCATCTTGTTCGGCTTAGTATCGATCTCACGATGCAACAAATCATCGACCTCGGACGGATGGCACTGCTGATCGGAAAACATCATCGGAAAAGAGACGAGGCATTTGGTCCCTCATTCCACGATACGTAGCCGCCTAGCCGTGATGAGAATACCGTTACGTTTGCATGTGTCAAGTGCCGAGGGCGTCTCCGTAGCCCGTTAATCGCGCAGCTGGCCTGCACGGTACCCTCTACTTGTCGTCGCAGTAAGCATCACAATGGTGAAGTGTCAAAGCATAGCTCCCGTCTTTGCATGTGCAAGGCATGTGCAAATAGCGGTGACAGCTGGGCCGAAGAAATAATGTTAGATTCTGCACCTCGTGATACTACCTGTCAATAGCGCCATCATGCGCCAGCAACCTCAAACACGGCTGTATGTACACGTACAATCCGACCACGTCTAGACCGAGATACGGTATTTCGCGGGGAAACATGCACAAGACGGACACAAGCCCCTTGTTTCTGCACTGGGATGGGCCGTCCCAAGCCTGAACCTCCCCCCTGGGCATCCCGGCCGCGGGCAAGCCCGAGTTTTCCCGGTCCCAAATGCTCAGAACACGGCGAATGCTACCCAACCAACACACGATCCTCTACGCTGCATCGCCGCCCTGTTTACTCTTCATCTCCTTCTTTTGTTTTCGAGCTGCCGGACTGAAAAATGTTTTCATCTGCCGCAACCCGCCCAAGTAAAGCCATGTGCATACGAATACGACTGCAAAGTTGAAGAATATGTATGCCCACATAATGCCTGCCGTATTGTTAGCGTGCTGGTGCAGACATTTTCAAAAAGCAAACATACCAAAGTCGCGCCAAATGTACCGCGGAAAGACGTTGAACGATGCAGCAAACGCTTCGCCCGTCGCATACTGACAGAACCCACAGTTGCCGTCCGGCTGCGTTTCCACGTAGCCTCCGGATTGCCGTGCAAACTGACCAGCGTATGTTTGGCAACTTTGGCCCGGCGGAGGTGGGAATATCGCCAATTCCCGGCTGTCGCACCTAATGACTTGTCCTTCCACAAGCAGAGCAAGGAACCCTTCAAGCAGGTACTTGAACGGCGTCAACCAGTACATCCAGCTCTGCCAGAAACTTGGCAGACTTGCATACGGCACTACGACACCGCAGAAGGATACGATAAAGGTGAAGAATAGCGGTACAAGCAGCGATGCGAGGAGCTCATTGGGAGCGAAGGAAGCAATGGCTTGCCCAAAGCCTAGATAAAATATCTCAAAGAGCATCACAAAGAGCCACACGCTCGCCGCAGTGTACGTGTCACGAGGGAAGCCCGGTGGGAAATACCAACAGCACCAGTAGATGGTTCCTGACACGATTCGATATGGCAGCTCGCTGAGGATGGTCCCCCAGACCATAGCCGTCCACGCGTAGATCTTGGCGCTGCCTTCTCGCGACTCGTAGATCCCACGGACGCTGATGAAACGTGGTTGCAGTTGCTGAATCAGCGGAGGTGCAATAGTGAGAGTCATGAAGACAGAGAAGAGCCTTGACTGCATGTCGATCTGACTTTGTCCGAGGTTCCAAAAGGTAAATCCATTGAAGAGACCAGTGATGATATGCAACATGACCATACCTTGGACGTAGGGAGGATCTCGCCAGATGGCTACGAAGCTACGCTTGACAACAGTGAGCCATTGTTGGGGGTAAGGCATCGCGTATTCTCGATCATCCCGGGCCTCTTCATTCTTCGCTGCGTTGCGCCTGTTGGTGATGATCTCTTGGATCTCCTGGGTCAGCTTTCCATTTTCAGAAGACTTTTCCCAGACATCAGCCCAGTCTTTACCCTTGTAATCGGGATTGCCGGCGCCAATGACTTCAAGCATGTACTCAGCAGGGTTCGTGTTTGGTGGACACTTTTCTGCGCCGTTGTCTTGGAGGTATCCGATGAGCTTCTGAGAATCGTGACCCAAGTCGCCAAAATAGACTGTACGACCCCCAGACTTGAGGAGCAGAAGTTGGTCAAAGTGCTCGAAAAGCACAGCGCTCGGCTGATGAATAGTACAGAGGATAGCTTGTCCAGCGTCCGCGAGCTGTGACATCAATTAGCTGAGTTTCATGTGAAGTTTGCCATATTTTTAATAACGTACTTTGTGCAAAAATCGAACGATATTGAAAGCAGCACCAGAGTCGAGACCGGATGTAGGCTCATCCAAGAACATGAGTAGTTCGGGTTTGCTAGCAAGCTCAACACCAATAGTCAAACGTTTCCGCTGTTCTTGGTTCAAGCCGTTTCCAGTAGTACCAATCGCAGCTCCAGCGATATCGCGCATCTCGAGCAGATCAATAATCTTCTCGACATATTCGTACTTTTCTTCGATTGGCACCTCCTTTGGCTGCCTCAGTCGTGCTGAGAACTGTAATGCTTCCCGTACTGTAGCCGTCGACTCGTGAACGTCCATTTGCTCTGCAAAACCAGTCGAGCGTTGGAAGGAATGCGGCAGTGGCTTTCCATCCACGAGGAAATCTCCACGGACGACACCAAAGTTGATACGCTGCGCGAGAGTGTTCAACAATGTTGTCTTACCGGCACCAGAAGCGCCCATCAGAGCGGTAAGTTTGCCTGGCTTCACAAATCCCTGCACGCCGCTCAACAAAGTTCGCTCTCCTTTCTCGTATGGGATGGTGTAGGTGATGTCTTGGAATGTAAAAATGGTCTCGTTCTTCGCGACGCCCTCGACTGTCTTGTCGGACTCGTCATTGTCGCTGGATGAGTGCTTCTCGGTAACAGCCTCTTTGTTTCCAGACTCTTCATCCTTGGGCAAAGTCTTCGTCTCCATTTCTTTTTCGATTGTCTTTGGAACCTGACCGCGCTTGTAGATGGTCACAGCCCCGCCACCTTTGTTTGGCTTTTGAATCTCCATGCCGAACGCCGTGAGCGCAACGAAGAATAGAAAGAAGGCGCAGATGAGCCCAAAGTTACGCCACAAGTGCGTCCTGGAATACCCATAGGCGGCCGCAATGTAGTCCGAGCCGGCGACTGTGAGAGATCCGGGTCGGTTCCCTTGTATAGCACAGGACTGGTACTGCTCTTGCGCATTTGGGACCTGCGGTGCGATGAAAGGAGGTACACAATCAATCTCAAGATTGTAGAACTCGTTGGTAAGGAGACCTTCGAATCCGTATTGAATGGGGTTGACCCATCTCAGCCAAGAGAACCAAGGGTGCATCTTCCGAGGAGGGATCAGGTAGCCAGTGTATACTACTAATGCCTGAACAGCGACACCAGTAATCCGAGTTGCAACGTCCAGAGACCCGACCAATGACCCTATAGCCCTGAAAAAGGCATACATGGTCATTGTAATGATCCACAAGAAGAGAACAGAAATGAAAAATTGAGAGGCGGTTCGTGACAAGTTGGCCATGAAATATACCACAACGTCGAAGATGATGACCTGGATAAGCACAAGCGGCACATCGATGACGGTTTGCGCAATGGCGTAAGCTGCTGGTCGATAGAAGGAGAATGATGCGTGCTTTAGGAGAATTGGCCTGGACTCGAATGCAGCTGTGAGTTCTGCGAGTGCGAGGAGAGCGTTGAACAATAACATGAAGAATATCACACCTCCACGGGGAAACACACCCTGGGCGTTGTTTGGGAGGTTGTAGAAAAGGGATCCGACAATGAGAGCCTGGAAGAAAATGCCACCCCACTTGCCAACCAGGGACTGCGGATCGCCAACCATTACGAGGAACTGGCGCTTTGTACATGCCATGACTTGCTCCGGGAATGATATAGTGAAGTTCTTTTTCTTGGTAGCTTTGGTGCGTGCCTCGTGACGTTGTTCAGCCTGACGTTTGGTTTCCTTCTCAAACTCTTCGATATCCGCAAAGTTGTTATTAGCTTGTTCGCTATTGGCGAAGGCTTCTCCAAAGGCTGCACCTGTGCGTGGGATACGATCCTCCCACCCTTCCTTGACTTGTCTTTCGTGTTCATCTGTGACAGATGTCAGGAAGTCACTGGTAGTCCAGCGGTCAGGTTTGACAAAGCCGAGACTCTTGAAGTAGTCGGCAGCTTTCTCGGTGGGTCCGAAGTAGCAGCATCGTCCCTCGTGGATCAGAAGGACTTTGTCAAAGAGATCATACAAAGACTCTCCAGCCTGATACAAAGCGATTGCACACGAGATCTGAGCCATGTTGGTTAGAGACCGCAAGCTCTGGACGTATTCTAGAGCGGTACTAGCGTCGAGACCCCGTGTAGAATTGTCCCAGCCTATTTTTGTTAGCCATAGTATTGCGGATGAGCTTTTCGTACTTACTCTGAACTGAAGCTTTGGTTATCATGGCCTCTGCGATCGAAACACGCTTCTTTTCACCGCCAGATACACCGCGGATGAGCTCATTTCCGACCTTCGTGCCAAGTGTGTGCTCGATCCAGAAAAGCTTGGTTACTACGCGTAGGAACTCATTGACGTAATCATTTCGAGACTCGCCCTCCTTTCTTGACTCTTTACCTGGGGTTCTTGTCTTCAAAGCAAACTTCAGTGTGTCTTTGACTTTCAGTGTCGCATAGTGTAGATCATCCTCCGGGTTGTAGAGCACCTCGCTTCGGTACTTCTTGGCCATCTCGTCCGCATCGGTGCCCCCGTAAGAGACCTTGCCCGTGATCTCCTCGAAGCCGTATCGCTGATTGCCGATCATTTTGAGGAAAGTCGAACATCCAGAACCCGGGCGCCTGTGGGAATTAGCATGTGTGAAAACAGGTTGGATTGATTAACATACCCAAGAACAAGTACCATTTCTCCAGGTCGTATGCAACCAGAGAAGTCATCTAGGATGGTGCGTACTGGAGGCTTGCCAGCAGCCTGGCGCGGTCCTTTGGTGAGGAGGTTCTTGGTAAATCTGACCGGATCCAGGAACAATGCGCCAACACTTGGCTGCAATGCTGCACCGAGACCCATACCCTTGACCGTCAGGTGCTTGAAGATCACACCTTGATGTCTGGTTTTCTCCTCTTCTGATGCCTCCTGTCTCGTACGCCCAAACATCTTCGACATGAGGTTGTTGATTTCATCCTCCTCATCGGGACTGTGTCCTGTCGCACCAGTGTTGGTCTTGCTCAAGCCATTGCTCTGGCTCGTTCTACGTCTAGACAACGCACGAAACAAGTCCTCTTCCGTCATAAGTCTCGAGTTCTTTGAGTTGAAGCTTGGTCTTGTCGCAGTTCCGCTCTTCTTAGTCGCTGTTGGCTCTCCTTCAAGCTCAGAGTCAGATGTGTCATGTTCCAGTTCCACCTGCTGCTCGACAGGCCCTCCTGACGTCTCATAGATATAGCCGTTACTGCGAGTACGCTCGGTCGTAACACCACCCTGAGTGACTCTGTCTTGCAACTGGTGTCCGTTGGTGATATTCCGCGATGTCTGCGCGTCCGTTGACGCTACCGCAGTGGAGTTGCTTGACGCTGAAGATAAACCCGCATCACCTGCACTGTAGTAATTCTGGCTGACGGTATGGTGTGCACTAGTCCCATTGTGTGGGTATGAAGCGGCAGGATCATTATGTGTTTGTTGTTGTGATCCGATATATGACTGTTGGCGACTAGGGTCTGCAGGCGTCTCTATCCACCCCCCAGGAAGATGAGATAGACCGGGAGTTGCATCGTTTGAAGCCATTACGATGACTTCCGAGGCCTACAACGGACCAGTTGGCGGCAGTCAAGCACCCAGGCAGTAACCACTAGGGAGAAAGCCGCTACCACGAAGATCGACGATTAACAAAGATAACTAAAAGAGGCCGTTTGCAGAAGAAATGTGCGACCGGTGCAGCCTTTGTAGGGGATCGAAAAAACGGTATCAGTCGTGCGCTGAGAATATGAACTAGAGCGCAAGCCTGCGCGAAAAAATTGACTGTTGCTGCCATGCTTTGCGACGCATCGATAGTTGATAGTGCAGTGTTTGAATGGTGATGTCATGTTAACGTGAGTGAGGTCGGTTGTCGGACCTTAGCCTCGCGTCGGGGGCTGTCAAGGCCGAGACAGTAACCGCGATCGATCCACGATTTTGTCGTATTTATCGTATTTCAGCCTTGCATCCAATTGATCTGCTGCCGCTGGTGGAGACGCTAGATGTCCGCGGGGAACTGAGAACACTGCTAGGTTGAGCACGGGGAAAGCTCCCAAGCTTCAAAAGCAATGTTTGCGCCGGGGCTTTAACTCAACCTGTTTCCCTTGAGCCTTCATTTCTTCCCATAGGCGCAAATGCGCGAAAGGAAAGAATTATGTTGAGGTTAAGGAACATGCAATTCTTGAGAATCCGATCTATCGTTGCGTCAGCGGACAGCGCCAAGCGATGCTTGTCCTTGCAGCCACTTGGCATCCCTTGCCGCGGCTTCGCTTTCCAGTATGTTCCTCGCTTTCGCCAATCTTTCCGATGTGATAGTGTGTGCCTGAAATCTGCTTCCAGGGTATAGAGATCGTTCATGACATGGGTTTTGCAAAGCAGCATGGTCATCCGATGCGGGTGAAGCAATCATGCCAGCGCATGCCCCTACTCAACAACTTTGCCTACCGAAATTCCTTCTTTCAGCAGGATCAAATGGCACAGAATTTGACAAATTCCCATCATAGAATATTCTCGATAGGCCTGCTATATTGAATCAGTGGTTAATCCCGTTGTATCCATATGTCACGTGACCAGCATACGCCGATGCGGCGCAGTCACAGGCAACCAGCGTGTCTGTCAGCGTACGTCAGCGGCACAGGTTGTCACCCAAGACACCTTTCAGAAATATGAAGAGTCGAACAACAATACACCCATCACCATCGTGCTCAGTGAAAGCTTTGCCCTTTTGGCCGCAAGTACCTTTGCTTCCTGAGATTTCCCAACCGAAAAGGAGATATCAATCCGCCATGGCGCAATGCGGCGGGACTTACAATACTCCATCACAATCCGAGCACCCATCTTCCGTCTGTAAGCACACAGGGACGAGGATCCCCACATCTCCGCCTTTGACAAAACAACCTAGTATACTCCGCTTCTTCACTATCGCCGTGAATGGTAAACTTATTTTCCTTGTAGTTTCAGACGACGAATCCCAACCCTCCCAAACCTCGCTTAGAAAGTCGAATGTGGAAAACAAAGATGACTCCGAGTGGGCCATCATAGAAAAGCCAGTTGTGGATACAAACGAGGATGAAGATCATACTGCGGCTAGTGGCATATCTAGTCAATTCAAATTGGACCTGGGGTGGGGGGCCTGGAGGACGACCGTATTCAGGTGGGACATCAACATACACAAACATTAATTCCGATGGATTTGATAGCGTATACAATATCAAAGAGAAAGATTTGTTGCGTTTATCGAATGTGTGGCTGGAGCAGTGGTGAAGTCGTGCATGTATTGCCGAGGATAGAAATTGTGCAATCAATGAAGATGTATCTGAACCACATTCTCTTTCCAGTCGGATGGAGCGTCTTCTCCATCCATTATGCCATGCACATATGTGTATCCCACAAGCGTGTAGTGATTACTGGGTGTATCTTCTATAGCTCGAATGCAAAACGGTACGTGGCCCCCACAAAGTATGGCAATATGATCCCCAGGTAGTGTGTTTGGCGGACCCAACCCAAGGTAGCCATCAGTAGTGAAGAAAAGCCTACGAAGAGTTGTCGATACGAGAAAAGACTGACAGAAGAGTGCAACTTTATTGTCAATTCCATTTTCAAAGTGAATGATGTCGTTCCAGACGCTGCCAGGCAGCTGAATGAGGAGCAATTTCCAAAAGTCGCCCGCCAGACTCGTGATGGAAGTGTCGCCGAATCGCCGGAAGACCTTGGACATACCACCAATAGTGCTGAGTTGGTTTGCGTCGGTGGTCGATGTGGGACCGTCCCACTCCCAACTATCGTTGATGACTGTTCTCCAAAACGCCTCTTTCCAAGCCGGCTCTGTGCCATACCGAATGTTCTCAGGCCTGGCCATTTTGAACCATGCTTCCGCGACCGCGGAAATGCTTTCCCAACTATGGTCTGCTTCAGTCATTATCGATCCCACCTAAGAGACTCTGTGAATCGGCTCAAAACTATCCTCTCTCAGGATTTTGCCTGTTCTCGCGACGTTCGCCACGGTACTTCCTGCCGCAGAGAACAATGAGGATCGTGTAGCTCTAGCACCCTCTGCCAGATTGAGATGTCGGGATCGTCCTCGGGCAGTCACCCAGGAAGGTAAATCGGGTATCCCAGACGGGGTTGTGCCCATCAGAATCTGCAGTGAAAGTGTCCTCTGGATATGGTGGAAGATGGCTTGTGCAAAGACTTCTTTCGGAGGAAGATTGTAATCAGGGATTAATGCGGGTATCCCGCGCCAATCTGTGACCAGTCCAAGAAGACCATATATTTTGTCACGGACATCGGTCGCATCTCGTAGTGCGGTAAGACTCATGAGTTGTTTCAAGGAGAGACTTCGGCCTTGTGCCCGAGTAGATCGCAGCAACTCCACATCGTCATACACGAGTCTTTGTAGATTAGTGAGGATCCGTTCTTCTCTTGGATGTCGGGTGTTGAGTAAGTCCTGGCAACACGAGCTGTGGTGAACTATTGACTCACTACTTGCATTTGCGAGCATACTCCATGGGGCTGTCATGTTATGGTATGCAACAGTGGCTTTGCGAGCGAGCACGGTCTCTTGTACAACCCACGTCCGTGTCCACCAAGGGTTGGATGCCAAAGTACTCATCGCACGAAGAGTCGACTGCCAATTATTTCGGGCGTTCAATTTGCCTTTATCAACGCTGAAGAATAGTATCTCGTGGAGATGCTTTCCTATGGAACGCAACTTGAGGTATACAAAAAGTCCTAAAACATCTTCTGTATCTTCGTCCTCTTCGTCCTCTTCCGTCTCTGTAGAATGACTTTCCTCGAAATACGCATTGACCAGTTCCATATCAGTGTTATTTTCTGTCCATTGGTACGTCTGAAGCTGCTCCTTGAGAGCACCCCATTGACCGCTGTAGCCTAGGCATATTACGACTTCTTCGGCACGACTGTAGATTTCCCCCATGAATCTCACTTGCTGAGACCTTTCATCAGGGTCTGACTGGTTGATACACACAGCGTCGGCCCATAGTACGAGTTTGCTTTCTGGAGTACGCAATCTTCGTAATGCGGTATACAGACTCAGTGTCAAAGAGGGTGCTTCACCATCAACGGTAATCGACAATATCTGACTGGCATCGCCCCAAACATATGAGAGAGCTTTATAGTTGGGATAGTCGTCAAATGATACAGTTTCCAGGTAGGCGTTAATGCCGTCGTCCCAGAGACCAAGGTGTAGATGAAGAAGTCGGATCTCTCGACGTAGGACGTTGAGCTGGGAGTACATATTGATGAACAGGCTGTGTTTGCTCCCAATTTGGAAACTGTGGAACAGAGACCACCCTCGATCGGCTGTGTAAACGGGAAGCCCTTGTACAGGTGCGGCTGAGCTGCCGCCTGTTTAGCGCGCCAATGGTTGTGGACTAGTCTGCAACCTCATTGGCCATGAGCGCCCCACGGTTGATATCGCAGGCCTCATTGGGACTGTGCCTCAGCTGTTGCCTGTGCCAATACACATCATACAGGTAGCACACATTGTTGCTTGGATCTACCATGATCCATTCATTTCCACAGTTCAGCAACGCTAATAGTCATCATTGCCCATTGCAAGTCCTTCGCATCGCACAGTGGCCCGACTTGACACGCATCCCCTCCACGAAACCGAGAAAACGGTTTACTTTTCACGACTCTGGCGATGGCCTTTCAGTATCAACGCCCTTCCTTTCCAACTTAATCAACGGGTTTTCTCTCGGCCGCAGGGTTGGAAGGTTTCTTTTGGGTTTTGGTTGAAATATACGATCGACCAACCGGGGTTACCACCTGCCCTCAACCGGGTATGTCGCACCCCAAGAATATCTGTACAAAAACTTACTCCTGAAGTGTGACGGAGACTATGTCTATAAACCTCTTGAACGACCATCCAAGCAGATTCGACTCCTCAAACTTCATTCCGGGAGGCCCGGAGACGCATTGACAGCCAACCTAATTGCCGTCGATCTGGAGAGTGGAACACAATACGAAGCACTGTTCTATGTATGGGGCAGCCTCGACGAAGACTACACGCTGGAAATTGAGAACCGGTTATTACGGATCAGAAGAACTTATTCCATACTTTCGCCACCTTCAGATCTTCTGAGATCGATAAGTTCATATGGGCCGATGCAATCTGTATCAACCAGGAGGATATGCCAGAGAGACTGAAGCAAGTTGACATAATGGGTGATATCTATAGTAGCGCGGCCAAAGTCGTCGTGTACCTGGGGCAGCCCACCGAGCAGACCGAAGCAGGCATGTCAAACTTGCAATCTATCATGCAAGACTCCGACCACGCACCATCTTGGTCGACTGTTCCCTTGGCGCAGCTCGAAGAAAGTATCAAGGACATTATCTGCCGCGAGTGGTTCGAAGGCATGTGGACTGTCCAAGAAGCTGCATTGGCAAGAAGTACTACGCTGCAGTGCGGCCACTACAAATTATATTGGCGCGGCAATTTGCGTACTGTGAGGGCGATGGTCTTCCGAATCAAAACCGCGGCGATATCTCCATACTACACCCTAAGCAGCGGACGCCGCAGCACGCTCGATTGGTCCCCGCTTCTCGATATACTCGAAACACAGTTAAGACAAGCTTCAAGAAGAGAGGGTAAAGCCTTACAGCGAACTACTCTCGATCTTGCGTTCGACTTTCGTGACCGGATTACCACCGTTCCCCAAGATAGGTATCTTGCGATCTTGGCAGTGATTGAGAATGATGATGGAGCCCGACTGAAGTTTCGGCCAGACTATACTCTTCCGCTCGAAGAGATCTATCATCAGTTCGTGGTTGAAATCCAGAGTATCAACGGTATCGGAGATGTTGCGCTGAACAATGAATTATTCTTCGATTTACGAGCCGCTGGCAAATGTCGTGAAGATAAGTTATAGAAGTATTACCAGTATCGACATAGTTTCAGGTTATGATAATTCCAAGTATCAAGCAAACCGAAACTCGGACTTCCCAATTGTGGTGGTATCGTTGCCAGTAGCCGAACTTCTGTATACTCCATCTTCTGTCAGTTCAATAATAACCTATCGAAATGACGCGTTAGTATTACAGCTCATGGGCTGGGTGAGAGCTATCATCCGACGACACGTTCGAAACGGATGCTGTCTTCGAGTGCAGAGGCCCGAAAGTAACGGACTTCTAAGACTTGTAGTACTTAGTTGAGCACCCCGGGCGAAGCTATTGACGAAGTGAGATGTATGAGTTTTGAGAGGTTGACGCGGCGCCGAGCCATGATCAGCGCTAAGCATCCTTGTAATTAGTAACTACCTGCGTGCCTCGGGCCGCCAGGGCTGGTGCAGGACATTGAAGTTGCCCACATTGCGAGATGCCGTCAGCGACGCTCACTCAACTTTCCATATTCCAACCCTTCTCTTGTCGGGTTTTTGTGTCCGGGTTATACGAACAGCGCAGAGACGCGAATTTACAGGCACCATGGTTGTGAGGTCTGCTTCCGGGACACTGGGCGGGATCCCAATGAAGCATCTTTCTCTGGTAACGGTATGCGCACGCTTGTAAATATTGCTCCTATGCAAACAAGCTAATCATTACATAGCTTACGTTTCAAAACTCGGCCCTTATCCTGGTACGATTGCCCCATATGACGAACCACAGCCGCGGCGCAGCGCAACCACAACACTACTCTAGAGACGCCGTGCTGAGAGGATCAATGGCTGACGCGACATCAGATTATGCATTATTCGAGGATAATGCCTCAGACTGGCGGCCAAAGATATCACACAAGCACGAGCGTGTTTCTGAACGAAGTTATAAAATTGGCAATAAGCTTGACCATGGTACAAGACTCGCGAAGGAAAGCTTCTGGGCCATGCTTACATTACACAGGCACTATTCGAGATGTCTAAAACCCTACCTTCGAATACCACCGTTGCGACCTTGTTCCATACTATGACGACTGCCATTTTTACAAACGAAAGCTGGAAGCTAGCGATACCGGCTGTCCTATACACGATTCAGAACACCCTTCAATACCTCGCAGTCAGCAACCTCGATGCGGCGACTTTTCAGGTCACATATCAGCTCAAAATCCTGACGACTGCCATATTTAGTGTGTTGATGCTCGGAAGGACACTGTCAGCGCGTAAATGGCTTTCATTGCTGCTGCTCATCGTCGGTGTATCCATCATACAAGTACCGCAAGCCATTTCCGATCCCCTACCACAGGGTGCGGTTTCAGAGCCTTGGATAAAGGCATTAGAGCCATTAAACGACCTTGGTAACAACGTTGCTGCGCGGATGGTAAAGCGGTCAGGGTCATATGAAGGCATACATGAGGATCGCGCCGCGCAGGTGCCCCACATGAACCGTAATGTTGGTCTCATGGCTGTTCTGGTTGCATGCGCGCTATCAGGCTTGGCTGGTGTAAGCTTTGAAAAGATCTTGAAGGACTCCAGCGGTTCCAAAACTACAACGCTGTGGGTGCGCAACTGTCAGCTTTCCTTCTGGTCGCTCTTTCCATCGCTATTCCTTGGCGTAATATGGAAGGACGGCGAGATCATCTCCAAGACGGGCTTCTTCGTTGGGTACAACTGGGTTGTGTGGTTAGCCATTGGCTTCCAAGCTGCAGGCGGAGTCATTGTTGCACTGGTTATAAACTATGCGGATAATATTGCGAAGAATTTCGCAACTTCCATCTCAATCCTCATCAGTTGCATTGCTAGTGTATACTTCTTTGACTTCAAGGTGACGAGATCGGTAAGTATACATGAGCCTGGCAGAGTTCGCGACGCTAACGAAGCACAGTTCTTCTTAGGTACCTGCGTTGTACTGTTTGCAACTTATCTCTACACTAAGCCTGAGAGAGGCTCGCAAACTTCGACGGCTCGGATTGCCGACTTTGAGAAGACGACTGTAGATCGCTCCTACGATGATCAACTGCTAGATAGTAGACCGAAGAGCCCCACACGGTTCCATAGAACGTCCGCATCTACATCGGAATCCCCGTCGATAGAACGGCATTCCCATAAACGCGACGCCTGAGCTTTTAGAAATACAAAGCTTACGCGAAAGCTGGAGCTCGAAATCCTGGCTGAGTGCGTGCTGCAAACTTCTGCTGCTAACATGTGAGAGTGACTTTCGGTAGTCGCTTCTAGCTTACATCGGATTAAAGGCTCTATATGTCGCTATACATGTAGACGGCCCCCTGCTTTGCACATGACCCAGGTAGCACACCGGGCGATAGCACGTGAAGAGAAATTGACGCATGTGTAACACTACTGGGTTGAAACGTTCCCCGAAGATATACGATACCCCTCATAGTAGCAGTTTGCCATGAGTGGAGGTGGCGTTCTGGAGGTTCGTCACGACAGGTCAGGCCGCGCTTTCCTCCATCGTTCCTTCTCGTTCTGTCCCAACGTCACTCTCTCAGCACGCCATCTTCGACCTCAATTCAGGGAGACTTTCTTTCATCTATCGTCATATCACCATCTATCACACATGTGATCTAGTCTGCATGTAGCCGTTATGGTAGACCAGCATCATCTCCCGGACGCTTCGCGTCGTGCGTCGCGCTACGATATCCTTCAGCCCCAGTTCAAGCAGCCGGCAAGGCCGGTCGCCCAACGAGACCGATATCGTGCAACCCAGTACTGTAACCCCATATACGATGTAGTTGAAAATGACAATGCATCCGATAAAGGTCTGCAGCTCGACTCTTTCGGTACGTGGTTGCCGTACTGCCTTTAGAGTAACTCTAATGTCGAAAAGATGAGAGATTACTACAAGAACCGTATCCCGATCGCCAGCAGCAAGCCATGCAAGGCCGAGCGAGGTTGTCCCTTGCCCCAGCTCAGTCCACATTTTTCAACCATGCGGCACCTACTCAGTCACAAACCTCATACTCTGCTCGTGAGAACGACATGTACCATGATCCTGGTAAGATTTACCACTGGCACCGAATACGCAACTACTGACAAACAAGTCGAGTACCGGCCTGCTGAGCAAGCTATGCGTACTCAATTGGGTGAGCTCAAGTCTCAGAGTGAAAGTTCGACATACTGATGATGCGTCAGGCCGCTTTGCCTACAATCCCACGCAGACCCAGCATTCAAGCTCCGACGTGCTAGTTGCCCCATCATCTAGTCCTGCTTTCAAAGCTAGCCAACGCCATGTTGAAAAACAACAAGAACAGCACATGCGTTCTTATCAGCAGGTCACACCTTTCAAGCCCCTACGAGATGACCCTCAGTCACAAATACCTTCTATAAATCAGATGGAAGATACTACCCACCCATATGGCCAACAGACACGTTCAAGGCCAGAGCGCAATTCAACAAGCCTGACTAATCTTCCCATGTGTCAAGATATCCGTTTACTCCCCGTCATAACTCTACCCGATCGGCTGCGAACAGTTTTCCCTTATCCAACGTTCAATGCCGTCCAGTCAAAATGCTTCGAGAGGATGTTCCAAACTGACGACAACTTTGTGCTTGCTTCTCCCACTGGAAGTGGCAAGACCGTCATCTTGGAGCTTGCTATATGTCGGGCAATCGCTACGAATGCGACCAATCAATACAAGGTGGTCTACCAAGCGCCGACTAAGGCTCTGTGTGCTGAGCGACAGCGCGATTGGGAAGCCAAGTTTACAAAGCTCGGTCTTAAATGTGCCGAGCTTACTGGTGATACAGACGTTTCCGACCTCCAAAGCGTGCAGAGCGCCAACATCATCATCACCACACCCGAAAAGTGGGATAGCATGACTAGGAAATGGAAAGATCACGAGAAGCTGATGAGGCTCATCAAGGTGTTTCTCATTGACGAAGTCCACATACTGAGGGAGGACCGCGGCGCTACGCTTGAGGCGGTTGTATCACGAATGAAGTCCATTGGCACGAATGTCCGCTTTGTAGCCTTATCTGCGACTGTGCCCAATTTCCAGGATATCGCAGCCTGGCTGGGTAAAAATTCGTTGGAGCCTGATATACCGGCCGCGAATGAGAGTTTCAGTGAGGAGTTTCGGCCAGTAAAACTGAAGAAGCACGTTTGTGGATATGCTTATACTGGTATCAACGACTTTGGTTTTGAAAAAGTTCTTGATGGCAAACTTCCCGAAGTCATTGCTACTTATTCCGAGCGGAAGCCTATTATGGTCTTTTGTGCGACCAGAGCTTCCACAATCAACACAGCCACGCTGATTGCGAACTGGTGGGCCTCAAAAGCCGGCCAAGGCCGATTCTGGAACCGCCCCTCCAAGACACTGCCGCTACACAACAAGGAACTTCGGGACACTGTCGCTTCCGGTGTCGCATTTCATCACGCTGGACTTGACCTGGATGACCGAATGCAAGTTGAGAGGGGTTTCATTGCGGGTGAGATCAACGTCATTTGCTGCACCTCTACCCTTGCGGTTGGGGTAAACTTACCCTGTCACCTCGTCATCATCAAGAACACGATGGTTTGGGGAGGAGGAAGACTCCAAGAATACTCTGATCTAGAGATGATGCAGATGCTTGGCCGCGCAGGCCGACCTCAATTCGATGACACAGCCGTGGCAGTGATCATGACCCGCCAAACGAAAGCTCGCCGTTATGACATGTTAGTCACTGGCCAGCAACTCATAGAGAGTAAGCTTCATCTCAACTTGGTAGATCACTTGAATGCCGAGATCGGTCTGGGAACGATTCAAGACCCATTGTCGGCGAGAAAATGGCTTAGAGGAACATTCCTTTTCGTTCGACTCCAGAAAAATCCCGGATATTACAAGCTGGAAGGCGCTAGAAGTGGACAGAGTATTGAGGAGCAGGTGGACGACATTTGTTCCCGTGACATCACGCTTCTACAGGAGATCAATCTCGTTTCTGGCCAGGAGGACTTCAAATGTACGGAATTTGGCCATGCTATGGCACGATACTACGTTCATTACGAGACCATGAAAATATTCATGGGACTTCATTCTAGATGTTCTCTTTCTGAGATTGTACGTTTATTTCCTCCGCTTTCATGCTTTGCTGACACCTACCCCTCAGCTCTCAGCCATTGCCCAAGCCACCGAATACTCCAGTATACGATTTCGTCAAGGCGAAAAAGCCCTGTACAAACTCCTCAACAAGTCTCCTTCCATTCGCTGGCCTATTCCTGTCAATCTGGATTTGCCAGCCCAAAAAGTGTCGTTGATCGTGCAATCTGTTCTCGGCTCCGCTGATATCTCTTTCGACGGCGAGATGAGCAAACACAAGGCACAGTATACGATGGAAGTGATGGTGGTCTTTAAAACTCTCGGAAGTCTCATCCGTTGCATCATCGACTGCCAGATTGCCCTCGGAGACTCTGTAAGCATCCACAATGCTCTAATGCTTGAGCGCAGCATAGGGGCAAGAGCTTGGGACGACAGCCCACTACAAATGAAGCAGGTACATACCATTGGCGTGGTAGCAGTCAGGAAGCTTGTCAACGCTGGTATAAAATGCATAGAGGATCTCGAAGATTGCGAAGCTCATCGTATTGAAGCTCTTCTTGGCAAAAATCCGCCCTATGGTCTCAAGGTGCTTGAGAACGTCCGCACGTTTCCAAAGCTCCGCGTTTCCCTCCATGCGCGACCATCAACTGTAACTGAACATATTTTTATGACGTAAATATATACTGACAGATAGCAAGACGGCCCCGACTCCCAGGGGAGTCAAAATTGAGATTCGAGCGGACATTGGCTTCATCAACGAGCAACCACCCCAACGCTTCAACTCCAAGCTTATATACGTTTGTCTGTTACTAGAGACTTCCGATGGCCGCAAGATACACTTCGCTCGAATCAGGTAAGCGGTCACCTCTTTTGACTGTTCGATCGCTAAGAGATATACAGCGCATCGAAGCTAGATTCCGGCCAGAGCGTCGCAATACCAGCTCTTCTAGTAAGTCCGGATCAGTCCGTCAACTGTTATGTCATGTGCGATAGCATCGGTATGCATGATCTGTTCTATTCTAAGATAACAGCTAACATCACTTAGCCGGCAGTATGCGTGTTGCGACTGTGAAACCTCGAGTCAACCCATCCATGTTTCCGAAACCAGGATCTCTTGATCCAGACACGACAACGCATCAGTCTAACATGTCCAAGCGCCGCATCGATACCACACAAGCAATGCGAAAACCATCGGTTACCAGCGAAGATTTTGGTGATGACGATCTTGACGATGAAACGCTCGTGAAAGCTGCTGCTAATGATCTCGACTTTGACCACATTGAAAACTACGCGAATCCTTTCGACGCCATGACCCGGAAGAACACTGCAACGAATAAGCAACACAAGAATACTCAGGGTGGGAAGGGCTTGCTGAGGTCTGTTGAAGCAGACGGCGAGGACAATGAGCAAGAGCCTGTGCAGCTCGCCAACGGAAAGTGGGCCTGCAATCACGCATGCAAAGACAAGGGAACCTGTAAGCACTTCTGTTGCAAGAATGGTATGGAAAAACCACCGAAAAAGAAGTCAGTCACCAAACGAGTGCCATCAGGTGAGACACGACTTCAACCACAACAGAAAACACTGCTTTCGAAAGGCAAAGAAAGGCAGACAAAACTCCAAATTACCACTTCCAAACGAAAGATTTCCTCGCCGATTGAGGAACTCGATCTTACACAGCAAGAGAAGAAGAAGAAGACCGACTACGAAAAAAATGGACCAAGAGAATACCGCGATCTGCATCAATTGCATAAGACGATCCAAGGGAATGACCTCCCTTCTTCCCTTCATTCCGTCATGCATAAGAAACCCGCCTATTGTTACTCCGTTGGAGGTGAGCACAATCTCGCCTTCATGAATGATACGACAACGGGGCGACTTCACACTCCTAGTGACTACGGAAGCATCCAGTTCGAAGACTCGCCTCCTCATCCTGGGCCCTCTCATCATTTGCTTGTGCAGCAAGACTCTGACCAACTAGGTGGTGAAACAGCGCAGAGCGATTACTTGGGCTATGAGGCTGCAGTATCAGTCGTTTCTCGTGGATCTGACACGTATGGCGATGACGACTCCCTCCTTGGTGACGCTATGATCGGACTAGTGGACTCTCATACCCTGCAGGGAGCGGAACAGAACGACGTGGATCAATCTCAAGAGGAAGCTCCGAACTATGCCGATGAGGTGGAACACGACGAATACGGTGCTGGCTTATATGACGACTTCACAGAGTACGGAAAGGATCTCTACAATAGCCCTCAGGGAGTGCGATATGTCGCGGAAAATGCCCCGCCGACCCGTACTTTCACAAGAAAATTACCGTCGCTTTTCGTAAACAGTATGAGCACTTCCGCAACCGCACACGAAAACTCTGAGCCAGCGGACACCATGTACCAGGACCCGGAGCTGAGCGACCTGGCCCCACAAAAGGCTGTACCGTCACCTTCGCAAGTGAGCCTGGACAACCACCTGGCGCTTTTCGAAGAAGAGGATATAGATGACCTTGACATGGTAGCGTGTGAGCCGAAAGAAGATGTTCCGGCCAAGGACACGACTGTTCCTGAGGCATTCGGCGATCTTGAGCCGTGGCTGTTCCAGGAGTTTGGCGACATTGTGGAGCTGATCGAGGAATGATCGGGCTGGTATGCACCCCATCTATTATGATATGGTACGATGGTAAGGCGGTAATGAAGGGTGGCATGTAGAGAGAATGTGTGTGTACGGTAGTAATGTTATACTCGATTCACCATAAAAATATAGCTAGGCATATCCTGGACAGGCTTACATTTTTCTCTACTTCCCCTATTCGACATCATCACCTCTCCATGGGTTGTTACTTCATTTATAAAGTGCTATTACATGTATCTTATCAGGCATCCCCACTCAACTACGACGACGCACCCGGTGAGTTCTGATCAGGAGCCCCCTTCACCAACTTAAACCCACCCGGCTGAAGATACTGAAACACCAATCTGGGATCATACTTCCTCGCCACCTGCATCAACCTCTCCCTATTCCTCCCCCCATAACTCCCCACCGGATCCTGAAACTCAGACGCATAATTCAAATACACAAACTCATTATCTAGCCCCCTCCTCCCTGCCTCCACCTTCACAAGCCGAATAATCTCCGCAATCACCGCCTGAAACTTCGATTCGTCATCCTTGTTATTCCACGCAGCGTTGAAATTAAGGATAAAATACGGGCCACCTGCTGGATCTATACCAAGTGCGTTTCCCCCATTCTTCTGCATGGTTTTTGCGGCGCTGACGGTGATGGGCTGGATGGCCATTATGAGGAGGATTTTCTCCACGTCGGCGACGGTGGCGTCCTGGGCGTAGAAGGTGGAGATGGTGAAATCGAGGAGCTGGCGGTCCATTTTAAGGCTGATGCCCCACCAGGTTTCGTAGGCGCCCGGGGCGGGGGCGCCTTGGTTGAGGAGGTCGGCCATGCCGGACATGGGGCGCAGGCCGGTGGTGTCGTCTATGGAGGGGATGGTGGTCCAGTCGCTGAAGACTGTGGCGTTGGCGATTGGTTTGGCGTAGTGCAGGTTTGCGAAACCTACTTTTCCGATGCCAGGGGCGGTGGCGAAGGTCTGCGTGGTAATTAGTTGGTGAATCGCAGAGTTTGAAATTAGTGGGTTTGTTGGGTAGAGTACGCACGAAGATTTGTGCGGCGTCTTCATCTTTGACTGATCCGGAGACGGTGAACTTGTAGATTGCATCCATTGCAGCTGGGAATGCGTCCTCGAGATAGACTCGTTGACCTCCCCACATCTGACCCAGAGGAAAAGCCATGAGCTTGAAATTTGTGACAATTCCAAAGTTGTTGCCTCCGCCTCTTAGCGCCCAGAAGAGATCCGGGTAGGAGGTTGAGCTGACTTCAATGGGGATTCCTGACGCAGTGACAAGTTCAAAACTTGCTACGTTGTCGCAGGCCCAGCCACGTTTGCTCGCAAAGTGGGATATGCCTCCGCCGAGAATCAACCCAGGTACACCTACAGGTGCCATCTTGATCAAACATTAGCGGAAGGAAATCAAATTCTACAAAGGTCTTGAACTTACCCGACCTCCCGAGACGCTCAGTCCGTCCTTCTCGATAGCGTGGTAAACGTCTATCCAGCGAAGTCCAGGCCCGATATCGACTGTTTGCTTATCCGAAGCGACCACGGCCTGCTTGAAGTTTTCCATAGAAATGGTGATCCCATCTTCGATGCTAGATGCGCCAGCCCATGCTGCGTGTCCGCCACCTTTGACAGCAAATGGACATTGATACACTCGCGATAATAGTACGACCGTTGAGACGTCTAGGGTTTCGGTGGGCTTGAAAACACAGGCAGGGCGCAGCGAGCCTTGCTGGGCAGACCAGTATGCTCCCGTGAAGTTGGCATATGATGCTGCCCCTTCAGATAGGACTTTTTCGGTGCCGAAAAGTATGGTCAAGGCGCTACACTATCATGGTGTTAGATCCGGCAACACCTTTGCATACCTCAGACATGAACTTACGGCAAGTGAGCATTGTGCAGAAACGGAGCGTTTGTTGAGTTCTGGTAGTGCTGAGACGTCAACACCGATATTTTCAAGAGCCGCTGTAGCGTTGAAGTCTTCGGGCTCGAAGGTGCCACTGCCGGTTTGGGCAGTTACTCCCGCAGCAAAAGCTGCCACTGGAGCGAGCTGTGCGAACCTCATTATCGGAACTTTTCAGGTCTCAAGGGACAATCGAAGTGTAACTTGGCATTGAGCCCACGGCAGCGGATCATCGACGCTTTTGAAGGGGCCCGCGAAGATGTGGAGTCTGAAAGCTTTCGCCGTCGGCCGTTCCTTTAGTTAGTACAGCGACATGCATGGCGAAAACACTCAATCCGCAGGCACTTCATTTAACCTGGTCGGCATAAGGGTCGAGGCACCGTTCCAATTATTGATGCGATATCGACTTCTGTTCGGGGAAGGTGGGTGGATGCTGCATGCATGTGTGAGGCGTGGTCGGAGACATGACTGTTGGTGGCTGCATAGATACCGCGCTATTCTCGTCTTCGCCTAGTGTGCCCCATGGGAGCCCGAGTTCCCCGTCGCATAGGCTCATCCGAAGCTCAACGTCTGGTTCCCGTAATCTAAAATGTCAGCGGCTGAAAACAAGTTCGGTGCACTTGAGAATTCTGGCAAGAAAGGAATAGGAGATAAGAGTTCGGCCAAGGGACGTTTGGGGCCATGCGCACGGGTGCGGCTCGGGTGGCAAATAGGGACCCCTTTGCAAGGGGCCTGCCGGACGGCAGACAACACACCCGAGGGTATGTTCCTCTTACATGCGATAATTTCGTTGTCTCGGTGGTTGATTACGTTGTGCTCGGACAGTGAACTTGCCCATCAAGCGCCGCCAGCTTTGGATGATTTCCAAAATGAAGGCGACATCTTGGACGTGCACTGATCCGCTGAAGCAGCGCACTCAAAACGAGCAAAATGCTATGATAAAATCTATCCCGTTACTTCAACTATAAATGAAAATGGCAGTAAGACGTCGTGAGAGCAGTTTATCCCGCGCTGCGCCGCAAACCAACAAATTCGTCTAGTAGCCTCTTTGGAGCTCTTTGCACATAGCAAAACTTAAGCGCTGGGATTTGGGAGATCCTGACTTTTTCCGGATTACCAGTATGATGGATGAAAGGATTCTCTTCGTTCCGTGATATATATGCGGTGCGCGACCACCGAGTCAGCGCAACTCCATCCGATCAAGACATCGTTGCGCTCAGTCGCAAACAAGGATATTAGAGAAAGCATGACCACCGATGAACTTTCCGATGTTGCATGGGATAAGACGAAGGTCCCGGCTACCATGGGTAGGGGTCATTTGGATCGTGTGAACTCGTTTATGCTGGCTCTAACATCGATTGTCTTTCTTGCACGCGTTGCTACTCGCATTACGAAGCACAAAAAATTCGAGTTACAAGACTTTTTCTGCTGCCTGTCTTACGTTTGCTACGTCGCCATGGTAGTAATGTACTTCAACGAGAATGGACCGTTGTACCGTGCCGAGAGTGTTCAAAGAGGTGAGATAGCGCCGTATCCAGATATCCGTGAGTACTCTTCATCTTTTTCTGTCGCTGTTATACTTGTGTTGGCTTGCTGACTGCCCTTCAGTTCATGACACAGGAATGCTATATCGATGGCTGACAGCGGCTCAGCTCTTGTTCTATTCCTCTCTTACTTCAGTAAAGCTGTCGCTCTTGGCACTGTACAGGCTGTTGTTGAAACAAGCTTGTCGTAAATATGTCATTATGTGGTGGGTGATTTTGGCGTTTTGCCTACTGGTACATATATCCTCACAGCATTCTGTTTATGTTACAGTCCACTGACGTATGCGCAGTCTTACATCGGCAGTTCAATGACCACGATATTTGTGTGTGATAGCAACAAAGCAAAGTATGGCCAAGGTGTGTGCGCAAAACCACACGAGCAAAAACGCGCGCAATTCAGTCTATGGTTTGCGTATGCAGTAGATGTGGCTACTGATCTTGCAGGTACGTATGCGGAAATATCAGAGTTACAGTGATACTAACGAATATAGTAATGTTCCTCCCGTTTCGCATGACTTGGAATCTCAGGTTGCCAAGATCCCAGAAGTTTGGCATCTTCGTGCTCTTTGGCAGTGGTTGGATATGCATTGTATGTCATCAAGCAATTCTCTTTTCGGGCCTCACACTGACGATGTACTCTACATATAGCTGTTCGCAACACTACGCGTTGTTCAGGTCAGTGTCAAAGATGGGGTGCCAATGATACCAGACCCAAAGTGGCTGGAAATGTGGACTGTTATTGAAACCTCCATGGGTATGGCTTCCATTCCCAAAAAAACTGCCAACATATAGCTAACAGTAACTACAGCTGTAATGATCGGATGCGCTCCAGCTTTCAATGCTCTTCGCTCCCGTCGTAACAACAACAGGGTTAGAAAACCAGTCATTTCGCTTGAGATGCAGTCATCAGAAGGCCGCAGCACAGAACAACTCAAGCACAAGGAAGAACTGGTCTTCATAACGACACACGAAAACGTGGAAATAGCGGATTTAACAACTAGGCCCGAGCTTGTGTAGCGCTTTCAAAGTCTCCAGCACATACTGACCAGCAGTCTGCGAGTGGTGGATCGACGGCTGAGCTGACTGGGCCGCATATTTTGAAATAAGAGTTGGAGGACGCAACAATTTTCCGATCTAAGTAACCTCAGCTCAATAGGTTTTGTTGTGAAGGTGAAGACGAAGAGCAAAGCAATAGCCGGCGTGACGTCAGCCAATCACAACAGTCATAAGCCCACACCACAGTGGTGTCTCACTCAGCGCCTATTGTCCGAAGCCTCTTGGAAGCATTTTTGTGGAGTGCCTTTCATCTCTCATATTCTCAATCGCTTCATCACAACACCTCAAGATATTGTTCGTGTTGGGACACTATAGGGTGTAAGTGAATCAGAGCCGCATTCACCTCTTACTGTCGCGAAAACCTCTTCAGCTCTAGACGAGACACCTCAAAACTTCCCACTCTTTACTCTCTCCTTCTCTCTTCCCTTATCTTTTCAGACTCTCCAGTTTACCATCTTTTTCGCGGCCCAGACGCGAGAACACGCGTAGCCTGGACTACGAGCATATCAAAACAAGCGCACCACAACAACAGCAACGCGGCGAGACCAGCAACCTCAAAAAATCGCTTAGCTTCGCACACACCTTTTTCTCATCAGCCCTCCTATTCATTTCCCCCCATACGTCTTTGCAGACTTCGTTCCTGTCCACTCTCTTCACTCCAAGCTTCGTCCTGCAATCACCGCAATCGCAAACACCATGCAAACAAGGCGCAAGCAGCCCTTCAGGGCGGCCCCGTTTGAAGCCTGGCCCTCTGGCGTACCTCTCAGGAGGATCGTCACAAACCCGCGACCATCATCCAAGGCCACTGCCAGCGCTGCACCCAAGGCAAAGCGTTCCGCAGATGAGTACGCCGAAGATGCGTCCCCTGCCATATCTTTCCCTCGCCCTGCGAAGAAGATGAAGACATCGGTGAAGCCAGCACCGAAAGCTACTTCAGCACGAGCTACTCCAGCACCGAGGGCAACTCCCGCACGCAAGTCCAAGCAATCCACAGCAGCTCCCAGCACTGCACCCATCGCCGCACCCCCCAAGAAGTCATCGGCCATCAAAGCCCACAGCAAGCGCGCAACCAAACTCTCCATCCCCACCACCACTCTCGTCCCCCACGTCCCCCGCCAGCGCGCCATCCTCGGTCAAAAAGACGAGTCCCTCCTTCGCATCACGGGCAAAAGCGCCATCACACACAAGACCAATGACTTGCGTTTCCGCCTCATCCCCCATGCCTCCATCGACTGGAACAACGCCTACCACATCGGAAAAATCAACTCCTGGCGCAACCAGATCTACCAGCGCGCGGGCATCAAGACACGTCTGATTGTCTCCTGGCACGAGCTGGAGGAGCTGTGGATGGAGCTGTACTACCAGCTCTCCATTGTCGAGGCACGTCAGCGTAACGGTAACATCATCCTTCCGTCGCCTAAGCAGCTGAGGGATTCGTTCAACGAGCTGTTCGTCGGCAGGGTGCTGAAGGATAGGCGTGGCAGGAGTTTGGCGCCTAGGGACGAGAGGCATGCCACGGCTTTCGGATCGAAGTTCAACCGTATGTTTCATACGTTGAAGGCGAGGCTGAATGCTTGTGTTCGTGGCAAGGGCAAGGAGTTCATGCCCGAGATTCGTTTTGCGATGTTGCTGGCCTACAAGGCCAAGAAAGTGGAGATGGGCGTTGAGGCTGACGACGCTGTTGATGGGGAAGAGTGGGAGGCCTTTTTGGAACAGCTATATGAGATTGCCGACGAAGAGGAGCAGCATCTCACCGAGGAACAGGCAGAAGAGATGAAGGAAGATGGAGACTTGGAAGATGAGCAGGATCTCATGCAAGAGGAAGAAGACGACCTTGACTACGGTGACAGTGGAGCTGAAGAAGAAAAGCAGGATCTCATGCAAGAGGAAGACGAATCCGACAGTGAAACTGTAGCTGGATATGAAGATCGCCATCCCACACAACAACAGCAAGAAGCCTTCGGCCTGACAGCCCTTGAGGCCGACGCTATCGACGCCCTACTCAGTCTCAGCTCAGCATCAAACAGTTCGTCCCCCACACCCATACATCACACTCAACCAAAACTGACATTGCATTTAGATCATACCACCGCATATGGCTTTGCCACCCCTGAACTGACTCGTTCCGCACGTACCTCGCTCTCCACGGCGGAGAGTGTCCCCACGCCTCCTTCTCAGGGTGCCACGTACATCGCTGGTGGCTATGACGTCGACAACCGTGACAAGGATGCAGCTGGCGAACGCGTCGTCGGTGGCTGCAAGAATTGTGATATTTTTGCTGCAAATGTGCTTTTGAGCGCTCGACGTGGTTGAGCTCCTGTTGGAGAAACTTACTTAGTTGAGTAAAGGGAAGCGAACGTTGCAGCGTTGAAGGAAGGCCTGGATCGTTGCGTTGTTGATGGAAGACCTGGAGTCTTGCAACGTTCATGGAAGGCCTGGAGTCTTGCAGCGTTTATGGAAGTTCTGGACCGTTGCGTCATTGATGGAAGACCTGGAGTCTTACATCCTATCTTTGTTTCATTGTTGCGTTCTTGTTTTCCTGCTTTGCGCCGATTTTGCGCAGTTGTGGCCGCTGGATGAAGGCTGGTCATACTTGTTTGCGTACTTTTTTCTTTTTTGTTTAACGGAGTATTGCGAGTGGGATTGATTTCAAAATGGGACATTGTAGTTATGAATGGCATACTACAACACGAGGAACGAACACAAAAGCATGTATCACTACTGGGAAAGAAACGTGCTACCTCTGTACCTCAGCCGTAGATATCTCCGCATATCAACGAGTGCGTTGAGCGGAAATGAGTACTTTTATATACCCGAAGCTGTCCACCTTTCAACAAATACAAAACGTCTCCGACACTGCCCCTCTTTCTCTCCACTCCCTAGTAACTTTTCCCTTGCTAAATTCGTACATTTGGCATTCTCCTACCAATTTCCAGAGACCTTCTTCTACATTCCGAAGCATAAAGGGCACATTAGCGCCATGCAGTGCGACCACAACATCACCAGGACGCATAGTCTCGGGGCCTACACCCAATATGTTGGTGTCGCAGAAATATATATATTCTTTAGCCGGAACGCTTAGAGATTAGTCTTTTTGCGTTTCGACAGTTGGTGTTTTCAGTTTGGAACATCTGGTGGCCGTATTTTACAGTTGTACATTCCTCGAAGAACTTCTCTGCTCCTGGTTTTGGGAGATTCGTAAAGGGGTCATAGATGGGTTGCCATAAAACAGGACCCCCATCCACGAATGCGTGGTAGTTTTGCACAAGTGTAGCAAGGTCGTCAGACCCAGGTCGCTATACGATATCTGTTTTTCTAAACGTATATGCGAGATATTCTGGGCTGTATGAATTCTGTAGAGTACGAAGAAGATGCTGTATGTGCAAGGAACCTTCTTCGGGCCGTCGAACTGCACCATAAGTGTCCAGGTACGGCATGTATCCCTGACCGACAACACCAATCTTGAAGCCGGAGACATTGATGCAATGATGTGCGCCCCGCGTCGTTTCCGATATATCTACTAGTCCCGCTGTTCCATGGAGATCTGTACGGTTGTCACGGAGATCCGCAAAGACATAGGTGGAAGGCGACGTAAAAGGTGACACCCACGAAGGCCAAGACTCATCTACTATGCTCTGCCCGTTGTGTGCCAAAGAAAGAACTCTCAGGTCTTTCATCTCAACCAGCAGTTTGACGCTAAGTCGACAATAGCACTCCATGATTGTTATGCTGTAATTAGGATCCACAAAAGGGTGACCTTGTCGACTAGGATCCCAGTCCATAGTGGATAGACCCATGAGCCCATAGATCCTGTCTTTTGGTTTACTGAACTTGGATTCGATCGTCATCGTGAACAGGGTAAACATTGTAATGGTGGCACTTCTATTACCATATGTTAGGTAAATGAGGAGACGTGTGAGTGATGGGTCCCATTGCAGAAGTGGCGTTGGGAAACAGGCCTAATCCACTCGAAATCGAAATCAGAATTCCCCCAATGTACACGAGTGGTACTGCTGAGGAGCACTTCTTGAATGACCCAGCCTCGACTGAACCAGTCCAACTTAGCCATAAACGACAAAGCAATCATGACGTTGTCAGATATCTCTGATGGGTCAACGTCGCTGAACGTATCCACCTCGCGGCCATGCAAGCGATAAGATACCCGTTTATTTCGGTTGAGCCAAGGTTCCATTGTACATCTGAATTGACAGATGGCATCGAGGGCAGCTTGGACCACGTCGTCTTCTTCGTGTTGCAACCAAACAAGGACCTGGCTTGCTCTTCGATATATGACACTCATCAGCCGTACCTGTGAAGTTTTTTCGTCATTATCGCCTTGGTTGATGCATATAGCATCAGCCCACAGCGTCCTCGTAGCATCAGGGGCGCGGAAACGTTGCAGAGCCTCGAATAGATTTCTTGTTATACTGACACACATCCCGTTGCAGAGAATGGTCTCCTCGTCAGTGGCATCGCCCCACACGTACGAGACCGCCTCATAGTGAAGGTTCTTGTCATCCAGGTCGACCGTCCTAAGGGCGCAATTGATGGAGTCGTACCAAGCGCCAGGTGCCAACTCCAAGACTCGAATTTGTCTGTCGTGGGGTAAACGTGTATAGCGAAATGTAACTTCTAGGCTATCTGTTGTTGACAGAGCTCTATCAAAGTGCCGGGTGCCGGGAGTATTCCCAACACCGTCGTTGCTCGCGTGGGCACTGGAAGGGTCGTTCCATGATGTGAAAAGAGAGAATGGAGTGATAGGTGTATCCAATGTTCTAATGATGAGAAAAGATGCGCTTCAGCTGACCGTCGAGCTGAGGTCCTGTACTGCGCTAGCGGGCAGCATCCAATCAGCAGCCTTCGCATATCACCAGTGCTCAGAAGCTATAATCCGTCCCGTTTTCTCATATTAACGCACCCGTGTTCATGACTATCTCCTCTTTCCGGCGTCGAGTTTCGAGTTTCCTGTCTCTTTTGGCATCGTAGGCTTCTCTCGCTATCCTACGCTCCTCTTTCTTGATCTCGTACTCAGCCGTACGTCTTTCGTTCTCCTGCAGTTTCTTCTTTTCCGACTTGATGCTGTGTGTGATCTTCTTGTGCTCGGTCGACGAGAGGTGCCAGGGTTTGGACAAGACCTTTTGCTTGAACGCCGCGGTCTCTGCCCAAGCTTTTGCTTCTTCGTTTGTGGTAGAGACTATAGAGACCCGCTTCAACTCCAGTTGCTTGATGCCTCTGAATTCCGATATAGTGCATTTGGCCTTGACGACAGAACCAATGTCCAACGGCTGACTGTCTACTACCACTTCAAAGATGCCACACCGGCTGATGATGTCGACATTGGATAGCTCTGTATTCGAAGAGGTGTCTACTGGGTTCCGCTCCGCTGGAGGTAAACGCACGATCTTAAGTTCGATGGTCCTGCCGCTTCCGTCATCGAGGGTGAGAACGGTGTATCGGAGGTTGATGTCGTCGATGGCGACGATGACGCCAACGACGCGAACATAGCGGATCGGGTGGTTCAAATGGAAGTATATACGCTGTCCTATTTGAGTAACATTAGCGAGTGTAGCAGTCGGCTTGCAGGAGCATTACCCTCAAATCCCTTCTCCGTCTGTAGAGCCTGCACATCTGCGGCAGTGATTTTCGCCCATATGTTGAAAGTCGGTGACGCCCGGAAGCAGTAGGCTGGGTAGAGCCGGTAGGGACGCGTTGGCGGCTGCATTGACATGTCATGTTGTATTCCGAGGTCGTTTATGAAATCTGGTGTAGAGGAAGTGTACGTCACGCGAACATCGCCATCTTACGCTATCACATGATGTCTCTAACCGCTTTCGTCTCGAGTCTACCGGAAGATCGGCGTACATATGAACATGGTTGTAACAGCTGCATGCAAGGTGATGCACCACACCACGCGTTTCCCATCCGATGCAGCCGCTCCCAAGAACTGTGGCTGTCAGCTTGCAGGGGCACGATCAAGGTGTAGATGTCGGACAATTGCTTTTCGCCCCGTTCAATACTGCCAGCAAACACGTCGGAGGAGGGGCAGCTATCGTGGTCCGCAAGGTCCACCCGGTCACCAAAGCTCATCACACACCTCAACACCGCCACTTTACGAGCATGGCCCACATCAAAAAGTAGCTATATGGGACCGCTCTATTGCGAGCTAGACCTCGTTGCCGTTGGGGCTACCAATGATGCGTCTCCCGACGAGCCGGCATGAAGCTGTCCATGACGAGCTAGTCTGACAAGCAGCAAGCTTCGGAGCTATCCCAGCTCTCTTGAAATCTTCCAAGCCAAACCGGTCAGATAGAAAGGCAAGGCAGGAGCCCAACATGCGCCGGGCGACCGCTCTCTTCAGTCTCATCTTTTTTAAGCAGGACCTCTTCGGTGTCCTTTTACTAACCCACCTCCATAGCTAATCCTGCTGTCCGTATCGTCTTTTCTGCAAAGTTTCATTGCGCCCAGCATATCTCGCCGTCAGCCTCTTCTATTCTTAGCGCAATGCGATTCTTTGCGCCATGGAGCGTGGTCGCCTCGTCGCTGGCTTTTGCGGTCGCGGAACCGATCGCAAAACCAGAAGCTATACCACAGCAAATTTCGAATAATGCGCCATTCTCTGGCGCCGTGTACATTGTGAACCCAGAAGGCCAACAGGTGGTGGCGCAAAATGCAAACATGTGTCCTTCATCGGCATCCGTGAGCTGTAGTAATGTCGACCATCCTAGTTGGTGAGTGAGACATTGGACAGGAAACTTAGTCCTCGCTGATCAAAACTAGGTGCTGTCCTGCAAATTATGCGTGCGCCGTCCCAGCCAACTCCAACGGACTAATCGGCTGCTGCCCAAACGGAAACCAATGCGGTGGCACCGTAAACGTCGGGCAAGTCACCACTGTGACTGTATATCCTCAGCAACAGACGGCCGTTGTATACGCTCAACCACCACCAGCTACCGTATATGCACAACCAGACCCGGCGCAAGGCGGTTTCTGTGCCACCATCACGATGAGTGGTCCTGGATTACCAAGAGTAGAACAAGGAGGATGCGGAACAATATTGGTGGTAGCCGGAGCACCAAGTTTGAAAGTCCTGGGTGTTGGTGCAAGCGTGGTTGCAGTGATCCTACACGTCGCGCTCGGAAGGATGTTTAATGGCGCATTATGAGATCTACGAGCAGGAGAACATTTTTACGAATATTACGAATTACGAGTACACGTGCGTTAATGGTATATACACTACGCTACTTGGTACACAAAAAGGATAAAATTACTGGTTACCCCTCTGTGCATCTTCCTCATCGTTCTTCGGTACGCTGATCAACTTGGGTACCGTGACAGCGTTCAAATGTCGGAAGGCCTGTGAGATCGTTGGTAAATGTTACAGCTCGTATGTTTGCTCAACGGTACTCACATTCGCGATAGCACCATCAGGCAGCTTGCCATTCCACTTATCCTCCACCTTACTGATCTTGCCCTGCTCATCTGTGTAGATAGCAACAACACTCTCAATGGTCGTCTCCTTTCCAATCCCCTTGACGACATATCTCGTCTTCAAATCCATCAGGATAGGATTGCCAGCATCCTTGACCGAATGGTGCAGCCTCTCGATTTCCGAGAATGCGCTCTGTAGACCGTACCATTGTGCAGCGTACTTGTCGCGACCCTGCGCAATAGTAATGGGATCCGTAAACGTGGCGTCGTCGCGCCACAAGGCAAGTTTCTTCAATGAAGGCCGGCCGGCAAAGAGATCGAGGACAGAGCCTACAACAGTGTTTTGTTGCTCCGAGAGTGTGATGCCGGGTGCGGTTTGGACGTCCTTGGTCTCAATGTTGGGCTTGGAAGCGTCGGTCGCCATGTTTGCTTTACTAATTCTGGGAATCTGGGAAGCAGAAATGGTCGATCTGGAGAATGTAGTTCTAAGGGTCTGTTGTGTGAAGGCAGAAGATGGGCGAATGAGATTTAGCATGATGAATGGGATGCGAATTGGATACAGGCGGGTTATTATATGCTTGTGGCACGAGAGGCGATCATGTGCTTTATCCAACCTAATGGTTTTGCTTTTCACTTTGCGTCATGATGAGATGGGTGTCTTAATCTAGGTCCGCAGTTTCTGTGGTGCATCGATGCTTTGTTCGATGCGAATAAGTCATGACGTCAAAGGTGAGATTGAGCCAGACGATCTTGAGTCGGTTGGGATGCGCGGGTAGCGGGGCGGCGCGAGGGTTGTTCCGAGTGCCGTCTGGGGGACGTTGAGCCCTAACTATGTCAAACGAGATTTCGAGGGTTGGATTGCGAGAGCGATAGCGTGGTCGTGTTTATTGTGGAGATGGGAGTGGTCTGAACTTATGTGCTGTTTCAAAGCAGCGACGACTTATCATGGTGTATCAACCCAGAGAACATGTCTACCAACACTACGATATGCGGACAGTATCAGCCTGTATTAGGATGCTCTTGCAAATGCATTTCTATTGTTCATGACCGGCGGTAGCAACATTCAATATCCGTTCCTCTAATCCAGGCACATGGACACATTCGATCCCATGCTCCTCAAGTTTCTTCCTTCCTTCATTCTCACCCACGAATTTCTCTGGCTCTTTGACCCCAAGGAACACCTTTTTGATTCGCTGCTCGCCATCCTTGCCTTTCGTCCTGATAATTCGATCTGCGCATGGCATGTTTCCACTCAATCGAAGATTACATGGCTCCATAGTAGTGTAAATGACGGTGTTTGACGGTAACGCTTCTCCTACTCGTTCTTCAGGTAGTCCATGTTCCTGAGCAAACTTGAGAAGGCAGCATTGCTCAGCATGCGTGTTTCCTTCGCACTCAAGCGTATAGCCGCGTGACAAGATATCTCCTGTATCTGCATCGACTAGGAGGGCCCCGACTCGGAAGTTTGAAGGTTTTGGTGGTGATTCTTGCGCTTGGTCGAGGGCTAGGCGCATGTATTGTAGGTGATCATTGGGATCCGGGCGTAGAGCTGGTAGGCTGATGGGCCCCCAATTTCGCACTGGACCTGAATCGTATCCGAGCGCTTCCGAAGATTCCGACATGGTAAAGGTGAGAATGAAGGTGAAGGTGATGTAATTGTTCTGGCTAAGTGTGATGGGGTTCTCTTAGCTCCGTAAAGTCCGAGCGTCGCGCTCACTCGATCATCAACTCTGAACGCGTCGACATCCATCTTTCAAACACGCGCACCCTCAAATATGGCACGGAAACAACGAAATACCACGCAGCGTGAAGAGCCGGTGGAGGATGATTTCGTAAACGACGAAGAAAGTGAGGGCGAGGAGAATGACATTGGAGAAGAAGATGGTCCGCCTACCATCGACCCGTACGAAGTGCTAGGACTTCAGACGGACGCTACTGCCGACGATGTGAAGAAGGCATATCGCAAGTTGGCGCTCAAATGTCATCCTGGTACGCGCAATTGCTCCTCAATCTGACACAACATCGCTAACTCATCCAAGACAAGGCTGCACCCGACGAGAAGGAAGGCGCCAACAAGGCATTTCAAGAGATCGCATTCGCATACGCTGTGCTTTCAGACGATCGCCGACGCAAGCGCTATGACCTCACAGGTAGCACCGCCGAGACAATGGAAGACGACGACGACTTCAACTGGCTGAAGTTCTACCGCGAGCAATTCGAGAACGTTGTTAACGAAGAGGCCATCAACAATGTCGCAAATGAGTACAAGGGCAGTGCGGAGGAGCGCCGAGATTTGATCAAGGCTTTCAAGAAGGTCAAGGGAAATCTGGACAGGGTCTATGGCATTGTAATGCTGTCAGACATTCTAGTCGACGATGATCGGTTCAGACAAATCCTAGACGAGGAGATTGAGAATGGCACGCTCCAGTCATACCCAGCATACGAGAAGGAGACAGATGAGACGCGAGAGAAGGCCAAGGAGGCAGAGAAGAAGAGACGGGAAGACTTCGACAAGCGTCAGGCTAAAGAGGAGGCCGCACCCACGAATGGCAAGTCAAAGGCAAAGCCAAAAGCGAAGAAAGGTGGTGCAGACAATATGGCGAGCCTAGCAGCTATGATACAGCAGCGCCAGAAAGCGCGTCAGGGCAATTTCTTCGATTCGCTGGAGGCCAAGTATGCGCCCAAGTCTCGCGGCTCCAAGCGATCAACGCCCATGGAAGAGCCACCAGAAGAGGCCTTCACCGCCAACCGGAAGAAACAGAAGACCAACTCGCGTTCTAAGAAGAAGGCCATGGACGATAGTGAAGATGAGGAGATGCTCTCGGGTGAAGAGGACATTGGTGACTCTGAAGAAGAAGAAGAGGAGGAGGTGGCCCCGAAGAAGTCAAGGGCAAAGCCCAAGGCGCGGAAACATGGACGGGTTTAGCGTTTCGGAATGAACTGCAATGATACTGTTTGCATATGGCGGTGGATAAGGGCGTTTATGGAATGATATACCACATGCATGCATGACATGCTGTCTGGTTTGATAAAAACGGCATTTCGAAGCCGAGGATAGCTTAGCTTGAGCATGATGTAGCTCCTGGTACGTGCTTAGGCAACAACTTATATACACCAGTCACTGCGCTTGTAATACAGCGTGTCATAACCAAGACGATTTTTGAAGTACCTGTGTTCGAACATGTTACAGCCGCTCTCCCAATCATACAGAGTCCGAGTTGGTGCAACAGCAAAACCTCTTCAAACTAGTTCCGAAGAATTTATGGACTCAAGCTGGTTTGGTACCTGGCCTCAAAGACTCTGAGGCTACAGTTACAGGGCATAAACTCACTGTCATACCTGAGACAACAAGACTGCATTCCATTTTCGCCTGGGTTATTGCTTGCTACATAGCTATTCATACTATTCCCCAAAAGCTCCATATAAGAAATTTAATCTCCATGTTTTCTTACATGCGCATCTCATTCATTTTGTCTCTTCTGCTTGTTAGTCTAGTGTACGTCACTTATCTCTTTCATTCGCCTGCTGAACTTCCAGGGCTCACACTACTACACGACGAAGATAGTACGATTGTATGTCTATTCATAGCGTGTAGTTGAGTCTTTTTGGAAGCTAAGAGGGGACATCTCTTCCTTGTCGCTCATCTTGGAGACTTTCGATCAGAGATCTAGCGAATACAACAAAGTATGGTAGAAAGGGAGGGGACTGGTTTGTAATACACGGTTCTGAAGACAGGCCTTGATATTCCGCTACCTGATATATTACGCTACTTCAGCAGGGCGTAAAACTTTCTGCAAGCCGTAAGAGAGGGAAGGTGTGTTCAGGTATCCCCTAGACCAAGTACGTTGCAATCTCACCCTGTGAACAAGCACGTTCTAACTTTTATCCTTTGTCGCACGTGCGGTAACTCATCTAGCTGTATCTCGCTGACTTTCAGAGCCCCAACGCAAGTCGCGCTGAATCTAGTGAAGTTGAAGTGAAAGAAGTGACGTTGAGGTCACGGTGGCGATTCTCACCAGGCAGCCATACAAGAAAAGATCACCGCACCCAAAAGCACTTGAACTACAGGAGCAAACGACTATCAACAGCCAGAAACAGCTCGCTCATTAGTCCAAATTGAGCGCTCGCCACCTTATAAAACCACACAAACAAACATATTTGCGACTTGTGGAGCTGTCTCAACGTCAAGCCTACATCACCCAGCTCCTCCACACGCTAAGCAAATCGAGTGCCACAAACCACCGCTCACCTTGACGATCACGTCGCGTTTCCACGCTTGATATAGCCTCCACGCTCAAACAGACCCTCGCAAACAGCACGCGCCGACAACGCTAGCCTATAACGTAGTTCGCGCGCGTCTATCTATATCTGGAAGCCGATCTTTCACCATAACATCTCAACACTTTCGCCCATTTCAAAAGCAATCTTGGAAACGAACATGTCTGGAGCAGCAATCGCGACCAGTCCAAAGACGCCGTCGGCGAAAAAGGTACGTTTAACAGCTGGTCACTGTCGAAATACGAAGATATTGATGGGAGAAATAGGTTCCAGCGAACTCATCTCCCATGTCAAAAGGTCCGGCAAAAGTTCACCGGCGGAAATCTTCTGCATCTCAGGTCACACCGAAGACTCCACAGAGGCCCAAGGTGTTGGCTAGCCAGAGCACGCCAAAGAAAGTACCTCAACAGCGGCGCAAGACTTCTGCTGCTGATAGTACACCCATCCAAAAGAACAAGAGACAGATGGCTGATATGGTAAGATGCGCCGACCTCTAGGAAATCGGGGGACAAAGCTAACACCCCAGTAGGGCCAGTCGCCGAAGAAAGTCATGCCTGCAAGGAGGGAGAGCGGAACCAGTATGTCTCTTCCCATGATACCGCCACTGAAGAAACAGAAGATCATGGAGGATACATCCAGCAAATTGGTAAGCAACACCCATTTCCAGAAACCGATACTAACATCAGAAAGGTCATCCCCTCGCCACCTTCCATCCCTCCCTCCCTCCAGATAAGACCCACAAAACTGCCGGTTCCCTTTCCTCCTCCCTCACCAGCTCCATCTCCACCCCCCGGTCCTCCTCCCTCGCAGGTCCCAGCCAACCCGTTCACAACCAACCCAGTCCCAGCCAACCCCTTCATCCAACTCCTCCACTACGTCCTCCAGAAAAACCCCACCCTCCTCCCCCCAATCACAGCCACACCCACCGACCACACCGACCCCAGCAACACCAGCGCCCCAACCCTAACCTCCCCGGACATCGACCGCATCGCACACTCAATGTGGGACGTCGCCTTCAAAAACAGGCACCTATTCCACTACGCCTGCCAATACAGCGCCATGTTTACTCCCCTCAAGCTCCGCATCTTGGCCAAGATAAACTTTCTGCCGAGCTGGTGGTTCTTGAGGGAGGCTGTTATAAACGGTGTGCGTGGTTTGCGTGTCGCGAAAGTAAAGGTGGGAGGAGAGGAGGAGGGCGTTAAGACATGGAGGGTTGATGATAGTGAGATGAGCAAGGTTTGGGGGCAGGCGCGTAGGTTTTGCGAGGACGTTGAGGTTAAGTTGGGGAGGGCGGCGAGGAAGGATGCGTGGACTATGACGGATAAGGTAGAGGTGGAGGAGGAGTTTAAGTTGGATGAGCTGTTGGGGTATGTGGGTGGAGAGATGGAGCATGATGGAGAGGAGGATGAGATAGTTGATGCACAGTAGGGGAGGAGGAAATGAGATGGTGACTTGGGAGATGATTACCCGGGTGGTTTCAGCACCTTCAAAAGCACTTAGATCGCTCTTAATGTCACAGTTCCTTTGATTACTTACATATCCTTGCGTAATAAATCACGCCTAACGTCCCACCCTTCCTCATAGAATATAAGCTGTGAGTTTGAGTTTGAAAGCCGCGGCTGGGAAGTCGTGGCATACATTATTATCTTTAGTAAATAATCTAGCATATATATCTCCAAAGTATCAAAGACCATATAACTAGTTCAAAGCATCGAAACGAGCCGAAACCGACTTTTCCATCCTCTACAAAGCATATCAGGCAGTGATTGAACTCTATCCTCCACGCTTTCCGAACACCTAAAACTTAGGAATAAACATCGGCGTCTCCCTCTTCCACTTCTGGTAGTCCTCACGATCCCCATATTTCTTATCATACTTGTTCTCGCTCAACGGCACCCCACTAATCTTCAGCAGCAAAAAGCTCACAAACGCCGGGCTAGCCGCACACATACCCGCCACCAACATCTGTCCCGAAACACCTCCACTCAAGCCCAATGCGGTCTGCGCAGGTTGCCTTACAAGCAGACCAGCTGCCGCAATAGCGATACCCGACCAAAGCGTCGCCTCACCAAAGTAGTTTGGATGCCTAGATTTCGACCAAAGACCATGGGTAAGGAACTCCTCGGAATGCTTCTTCTGCTTCTTCTCCTTGACCCATTTGTCCTTTTGCCTATCGGCGATGACTTCGAATGTCAGACCAAAGACAAAAGTCGCCAGACCGATGATATCGGTGAGATACGGTTTCGACGACACAGCCTGGCCGAGCAGAGAAGTAGCATACGCGGACCTAGGGATAGAATTGACCAGAATGACAGGAAGAGTGCATAGCGACACCCATGTTGCTTGGGCGAAAAATGCGACTGAGAAGGCGGACGGCGAAGTACGGATTTTTTCGAAACGAGAGTCTTCGCCTCCGTCGCTGGAGATGCGCCGGAAGAGGTATGTTCCCACTTTACACATTAATCAGTACAATAATCCTAACCGCAATTCTGTGGGAAACTTACGCCGTGTAGCCCATATCCCCACCGCCGCACTTAGAAGCGCCTGTCTCCACCACCAGGTCCCTTGTCCCAGACCCTGCGTACTCAGATACTCAGTTAGACCCCCTGTCATGGTCCCTGCAGCTCGCGCTCGCATGTAAGGCAGCACCAGACTCAATGCTGTGCAGGAGAGATATGTGAAACTGCCGCTCAAGTCGTAGTACTTTTCTGTTTGTGCGGCAATGGAGGGCACGGCGACGGCGGCCTGGATACCGTATGCGAGTGCAACAGAGGGGACAAGGGTGCGTAGTAGAGGGCTTTTGAACGCGGTTGCGCGGAGAAGCGTTTGCAAGAGTGTCATGATGGGCAACGTTCGTGAAAGTCTCCCACGAACTTGAAATGGAAAGCTTGATGTATGGATATGTTGCAAGTTGGAAGGCGGGGGATGGAGTTCTCTTTACATTATACTTTATGCATCACTTCTTGACCGATCTGCATAGCTGGGCGGAGTACCGAACAAGTCCCGCTTGTGACGCGCCGTGTTCCAACAATTCGTGGTATGGTCGGCCTTACATTCGGGTGCTTTGGTACCATTGTGGTTGGTGATCTAGACTGGCGGTTGCAATCGATGCCGTCATTTCTCGCTTGTTACTAACCGCGACAGGGGTTGGCTTCTGTGTTAGTGCTTGATCGGACCTTTCGGACACCGGCGGGACTTGCCTTGCGCCGAGCTGCATAAAAATGCAGGTTATCTACATACTGTATACCTGATCGGAGTATAGGAGGGACAATATCGGAAGGATCAAGGTCCGGAGCATTGCTCTAAAGGGAAAAGTGGGGTGCGAGAAGCCAAATGGCATATTTGTTGACATATCGCTATTCGACGCTCGTACGCTTGTAAACGCCATGCAGGTACACAGCCGAACCATGACAATACCAACCATGGATAGACACGCCGGCAAACCGCGACCTCCAATATGCAAACTCACAATAACATCACAACAGCAGCCCCATTCCTATTAGGTGCCGGCTCGCGCTCTTGCGAAGACTCTATCTCCGGAAGGCCGCTTCAACCTCCTTTTCACTCCAATCAATCTCCACCTCACCACTATATACATCTTGATTGATCGTCGTCAACCTTTCAGCTACATTTACGTACGTCTTCTCGCACTCCTTCAGCACCTTGAACACCAGATCTCGACTGATGGTTGGGTCATCCGCGTCGCCAAAGTGCTTGTCAACCCGCTTTTTCAAGGCCTCGATGCCTTTGCGTAGGTCTTTGGCATCATGTGAGTGTGCCAGTTTTTTAAAGACAGAGTGAGAGTGAGAGGAGCGTTGCGAGATGGCTTGTGCACTCGCGCCGGGCTGAGATAGGAGGGTTTCGGTCGATTCGATGAATTCCTGTATCTGATTAGATGTTTTCCAGAATGAAGATGCGCATATGTACTTACTAAAAGCTTGCCTAGCGGTCTTCGGATGACGGCATCGACATAGAGACCCATGTGCTCATTGTACTCATCTTGAGCTTTGCCCTTCCACAGATCCAGGACTGAAACTTGACGCGCATCAACTTCTTCCATGTAGTGGTTCATGTTCTCAATAAGCAGGATGTGGTAGTTCAACGCCTCCTTGTCCTCTGGATCACCTTGTCCTTGGGAAGCCATGACAGTAGGCGATTCTTTCGCAATGACCTTTAAGCTCTCGAACATGGCTTTGTTAATTCTCTGATAGCCATCATTTACCATACGTCTGATCTCGAGCTGGTTTCCGCCCTCAGACGCAGTCGGTAGCATGTTCTCGATAGCAATGGAGAAATGAGGGAAAGTCTTCATGAACGAAATCACTCCCTTGCGCTTCTTGATCTTGACCTTTGTATCTTCGATAGCGCGTATTTGCTCATCCAGAAAGCGGCTAAATAGCCCTTGTAGACGCTCGTGTATCTTTTGCAAATTTCTCGTCAAGAAGTCTTGGTTCGTATCTTCAATGTCGACTAGCTTTCGATCGACGGCACATAGAATGCCTACTCCTTGCCTATGTAAAGTTAGTAATAGTATGGTATGCCGCTAGAATAGCACGTACAAAGGATCGGCTTTGGTGGCCCAGTCCACAAGGCTCTGAATCTCAGCGGGCCAGAAGGAGAAGATCTCTTCCATGACACCACTAACGAGCTTCGCCATGGCTCTGTCTGCCTCGAATTGCTTCCGTATCCAGAGATTTGGCCCACGTCGCTCTTCTGGGGGTGCGGCCTGCACTGCATCGGGGAAGTCGATCGAGTCGGTAGATGTAGCATGGAAGAATTCGGTGATAAAGTTCTGTTCTGTGAGAAGTACCGGGCCAGTGTCCTCAAGAACACGTGCGAAAACATCGAAAGCATGTAGCTTGCCATCTTGTGAGGCCGGCTTTGCCTTGGCATCTTTATCTCCAGAAGCAGATCTCAAGCCACGAGCCAAGGTCTGACTTCGCTTAACAGTCAGCTTTCTTGCCGTGCCTGTGATACTTTCGGGTTCTTTCTCTTGTGCAGTAAAGAGCAACTCCTGTTCCTCGCCAGTGGGCTTCCGAGCGAATTTCCTCCATGCCAGGATGTTGTCCCTGACCTCTTGCTGATAAAGTTGCGCTGCTTGGTCTTGGTACATGCGAAGTAGCATGTCCCATGAAGCCCTGTCAATTTCCTTTGCAAATAGCATCACTGGACTTAACATCCAAAGCTCGCTTCGACCTGCATCATGGGCGTCTATGTTGTCCTTCAGCGATGGCATAGAGCCGTGATCAAGTCTCGAAAGCTCATCCTTGGTTGCCATGAATGCTGCACCGAAGGTGATGTTCATATGTTTCTTGAGCCGGTCTAGGAACATGGCGCCTTCGCCAAGATATCGGTCTCTTTTTTCTTGAAGAGCTTGCATTGTTGCCAAGTCACTATTGCCAAATCCTGCCCGTGCGTTCATCGCGGTAAGATCTTCAGTGGCACCTGAGCGGCCCCCAGAAACAAACGATGGATCAATCGTGATCAGCGCTTTGTATAGAAGGACCAAAGAGAATTCAATGTCCTTGAGCCCATTGATCTTACCGATAGGAGCGCGTCTTAGAGGCTCAAGTTGATCCGAAGTGATGGAGATGGTGTCGACTAGCTGTTGGAGCTCGTGTTGCAACAGACGCTGGTTCGCGGTCTGTACCTGCAAACCCTGGCTTTGCGCTTCGATGAAAGCAATGTCGTCGTTCAAACTGCTCAACTCGACATTGTACAACGTCAGCAGCCCCTCGAGCTCGTCGCATTCTGCAATTGCGCGATCCAGCATGCGTTCTACAGCTTCCACTCGATCATCCTTCTGTTCCAGATGATTGAGCCAGCTTCCAGCTTCAACACGAGCAATTTCGCGTTTGATGTCTGTTTCTAGTAACTCAATGTGCTTGTTAGAAAGCTCGTTGCTGCCCCATCCGAGCTCAGAAAGTATACTTTCGAACTCCAAACCCCGCTCATCAATGATACTAGGGTCTATTCCAAGCTTTGAGATGTTCACAATCTGTTGATTGGATCGGCGCTTCTTCCGTCGCACTTCAGGTTCAGGTGTCGCTTCTTTGGTCGCTACTTTTTCTGGCGTTGGTGGCGCGCTTTGCTCTTTCGTTTCTTCTACGGCGCTGGGCTGTGTTGGCGTCAAGGGGCCAGACACAGTCACAGACGGGACCACCTCGGTGTTGATATGCGGTCTTTCTTTCGATGATCTATCCGGCACGGGCTTGGGCGCTTCCTCCGGTTTCTTCTCGACTTCTTCTTTGGGCGCCTCTTTGGGTACTTGGCGCTGCGGTACGAACACTGCGTTGACCCCATCTGGTTCATCTGACTTTTTCGTTTCCTTGTTCAAAAGCTTCGCAGCAGCACCACCGGCACGGGGCTTGAAAGCACCTGCAGCCGCCGCAAACTTTCGAAACTTGTTCGCAGCCTCGTTAGTGGCCAACGGCTTCTTCACCATGGGACCAAGGCCGGGCCGGTGGGAAGCGTCTTCGTCTTTTTCTTCTGTCGGTGTCGAGACCCCGACTGAATCGGGTGATGTTGAAGGTTGCACTGCAGGTGCGGCTGCTTCAACTGGCGGAGGTGTTTGCTGTGCAGATGCTTGAGGCGGAGATGATCTTTGTACAGGTGCTTGCGGTACGGGCGTTTCCTGTATAGGGGCTGGTGGTGTGGATGCTTGCTGTACTGGCGCTGGCGCTGCTTGTGTTGTAGCGGCAGTTGGTATCTGAGGGAGTGGTGACGTAGGCGGTGGTGTAGGCTGTGACGATGCATAAGAAACGTTATCTTGGGAAGTAGGTTTTAGTCTCTCCGGTATTTCTGGTCGCCTTCGTGGCGGCACTTCTAGTGGTGGGGCGGGGGATGCAGAAGGTGTCTGGAAATTGGAACGTGGGTCAGTGCCCTGGCTATCCACACTCCGTTGCGACGCCTGGGAGGGGCGCGCTTCCATGATTGGCCTTTTACGCTGGGGAGGCTCCTCGGGGGGCGCATCCTCGTGTCTAGTAAAGCTTGAACTGGCGTTGCTCTGAGCCGTACCTGGCCTCGCGCCACTCTGGGCTGTGCCAGGTCTAAGGCCTCTTGGAGATGGGTCTCTAGGATCTCTTCTGGGCGAGGGATACCCATTCTGTCTGCGCTGATCTGGTGGTGCGATACCTGGAGGTGGGCCATCAAAAGGCGAATTTTCGACAGATCTCTCCGATCGTTGAGACTGAGCGTCTCCACGAGGTTGTCCACGAGCGGGACTCAGACTTGACGGGTAGTTGCCAGAATCCGGTGTCCCAGGCCGACCAGCAAGCTCTGGATTGGAGGATTGCGGTGTCAGATTTCTTGCCGCGAATTGTTGTGCTGTGAGAGGGCTTTGTGCCTGAGCACCACCACGCATTCGCATGGTCTCTCCGCTGGGTCGCGAGCGAATGCTGGGATCCATGGGTTGCTTCTGCCGAAGGTTGGGCATGGATGGCGCAGCTGTCATTGAGTTTGGTGGGTAAGGTGGAGGTCTCCGAGCGTCGTCGCCTGTGCTCGGTCTACTTCCAGGGCGGAGGTCATCATCTGGTCGTCCAGGTCGCCTTGGAATATTGGCCTCTCCGGGTCTTCTGAAGTTTGGGTTTACCCCTAGAGGCGGACCCCTTCTATTATCCCCAGCCAATGGCGACGAAGCTTCTCCGGGTTTTCGCAGTGGTCCGCCAGGCGACTTGGGAGGCATTTGTCTCTGATCCGGTGGGCTCGGACGCGGTTGCCCTGGACTGGGGGCACCTTGACTACGACCTGCAGCACGACCCTCGGGCGTTGCTAAATGAGGCTGACCGTTGGTCAGAGTTCCCAGCTCCGTTGCGCTGAAGCCAGTCAAGATGGGGAAATCTCCTTTAGTATACTTGTTGTAGATCTTGACCATACTTCCAATAAAGAACTCCTTCTCTTTCGCAGTCCCAGCTTCCCAGTAGTACGGCTTTCCAATGGTGACGGTGAAGCCCTTGTCTCCAGCCCACTGCTTACGCTGTGCCTCCTCCTCATTGGCCGGCTCCAGGTGTACGTAGTTTTCGACAGCAGAGAGTTCCTCCATGGGCCAGGTTTTTCCGATGGAGAAGGTGCCATTTGCGTTTTCTCTGGCCTTGTGCAACTTGACTCGGCCCGTGTTCCGCACAGAGATCATGATGATTCGCGCCTTCTTGTTGGAGGGAGGTGCGCTCGGTGGAGGCGGGGACTGGGGGAATGCGCCATCTTCTTGAACGCGGATGTGAGTGATGTACGATTCCTGGACTGGGGCCTGTTAGTGTCATGCAGGTGGAGCAACGAGATGCAGCACCATAGGCAGGCACGGACTGTGTACCCGGACGTTTATGGGCATGTTCAGAAGCACGTACGTTGTCCTTGCTCGTCCACCTTGGAGAAGCAGCTCTCAGTGATTCTCCGTCGCTCGTCGTCGAATCTTTCGGCGCGGGACATGCCAGATGGGCCAGAGCTGGAGCTGGTGGCGGACGGCGGCCCCCTAGGACCGCCAGTGGGCAGACGGACCTGGGGACGGTCGCCAGGCCCGTTTGTGTAGTTGCGTGGCCTCCCCTCCATGGTGTTGCTCTGCAGCTCTTTACGGGGTTGGTTTGACAGGTGCGTGGCCTATATGGAGCATGCGCCAATCACTGCCGCCCGGCGCTAGCGAAAGGGTCTCTGAAGGCTGCCATCAAATGCGAAACCGTGGTAGTGAGTCTTGCGATGCGGCGGGCGCAAGGCGTCAGTGGGCGAAGCTGTGTTGGGCAGCAACTGTCCGTGGGCAGTCTGGCAGCCTGGCAGTATACGAAGTGCCAGAAGACAGTACACAGTAGGTTGACTAATGCCGACGGCGCGGGGAAAGGACGCAATGTCTTACGGTGCGGAGAGCGACGTCTTTGGCGTCGTGTACTGGATATGAGACGGCAGGCGCGCGGGACAGGGATCACGTATCCAGCCTAGCGCCGTCCGAGGTACTGGACTATTCCGCCCGCCGTCACTTTTTTCTCGACCAACATTTGCTACTTTTGCATCAACACAACTCACCTACCGCACCACTACTCGTTACGCGACCTCAATCGCGCGCAATGGCTACCGACAAGAAGGTCTTCAAGAAGGCGAGCGGCGACGAGAAGAAGGCCAAGCCATCTGCAGTCGCCAATGTTCAAGTTCCGCTTGAGCTCGTCAAGACGTTCCTAGAGGAAAAGGGAGAAAAGGGCGCTGCTGGCAAGCTCCAAGAGTTTACACAATGGGAGAGCGCCAAGAATACACCAGATGCGCCTGAGCCAATGGACGTGGATAAGGAAAGCGCGTCCAGCAGCGACTCTAGCAGTGATTCTAGCAGCGAATCCGAGGCAGAGACAAAACCCAAAAAGTCCAAGAAGGCTTCCCCAAAGAAGGCGCCTGTGAAGGAGGATTCTTCTAGCTCCTCCAGTTCATCCGATTCCAGCTCCGATTCCGACAGCAGCTCCGATTCTGACTCTGACGAGGAAACTGCGCCGGTGAAGGTGAAGAAGGAAGCGAAGAAACCCAAGAAAGCGAAGTCAGTGTCCTCATCATCGGCATCTTCATCGAGCGAGTCCAGCGATTCTAGCGATTCCGACAGCAGCTCTGACGACAGCTCCGACGAAGAGCCAGCCAACATTCCTCTCCCCGACTCAGGTTCCTCCGCTGCGTCTAGCGATTCCGAAAGTGATTCAGAGAGCGAATCCTCTAGTGATTCCTCTAGTGATAGTAGCTCAGAATCTGAGGCTGAGGAGAAGGTTGAGAAGAAGGATAAAAAGACAAAGGGCAAGAAGGCTGCGTCCGTCGCATCGTCGTCTGCCTCTAGCTCGTCGGACTCAGACTCTTCGGATTCTTCAGATTCCTCCGACGATAGCGACAGCGACAGCGAATCCGACGCGTCATCAGCAAAAGCATCCAAGGCCAAGAAGAATGTAAAGAAGGGAGCAGCCTCTTCAAGCGAGTCTAGCTCTTCTGATAGCTCTTCTGATAGTTCCTCAGACAGTTCCTCCGATTCCGACTCCGATTCCGACTCTGGCAAGGCAACAAAATCCACTGCGCTCGAGCGTAAGACGTCAGCTAGTGACTCGTCCATGACCCTTCCCGCAGCATCGCCTCAGCCATCTGGCAACAAGCGCAAATTCAATGGTTCTCCCTCGGCAGACGCTCCCAAATCCAAGAGAAGTCACGTAGAAAACCGCTTCCAGCGCATCAAGCCCGACGTTCAGGTCGACCCCAAGCTCGCAAGCAACGCATACGTTTCGTACGACTACGCCGACCGCGCCCACGCGAAACTGATCGTAACCAAGGGCAAAGGCTTTACCAAGGAGAAGAACAAGGGCAAGAGGGGCTCTTACCGCGGTGGCATGATTGACACATCAGGTGGCAAGGGTATCAAGTTTGAGGATTGAGAATAAGATAATGTTGAGACATGAGGAGGCGAATGTGCCCGTATTGTCGGAGCGTATTTCTTTCAGGCGAATACGGGAGTTTCAGTGTACACCAAAAGCAGCATACCCTACATTGGCGGTACTCGTATCAGACCGTGGGTGCACATAAGAGTAGTTTAGAACATAGTCTTGTTGGATCAATAGATGATTTACTTAGTTTCGTACAATGATGAACCATGCCACACCATCACACACGCCCCTGTCCCTTTCGCTCTGGAGCTCGAAACAAAAGCTCTGGCAGTACCGCAATGTACATATATACATCTACCCACCATCCTCCCCGTCACAGCAGTCCAACACCCCATCCCACATCTCACTTCCCCCCATCCCCCTCCTCAAACTCCACAGGCAAATTCATGCCCACCCTCCTCGCACTCAGCCTCACGCGCTCCTCCTCCGTCATACCCATACCGGGATTGTACCGCTCCAGCAGCGACGCATACGTGCGTTGCGCCTGCACATATTGCACGAATTGCTCGCCGAGCTGCACCTGGCTTTGTGTGTTGGACCGCGGTGTGGACAGTGTTGCGCGGATACGTTGTTGTAGTTTTGAAGGCGCGGAGAGCTTTTGGTGCTGCGTGCGTGTTGTCTGTGGGGTTGAGGGGAGTTCGCGGAGGAGGCGGCGGTAGAGGGATTGGAGGGTTGGTGGGGTGGGGGGGGGCATTTTGATATCTGGCAATTGGATTGGTGGGCAATGGAGGTTTTCGGAGGTGCTGGTTGCGGTGATACACGTTGTGTCGAATGTTTAGTCGATTTAGTATGTGATGTTGGAAAGAAAGTTCGCCGCGGAGGTCTTTTGCGGCGAAAAGTTGCGGGTGACGCTTTGGCCAATCGTGAACTTTGCTGTTTATGCAACCACTGGTTCTTTTTCTCTGCACACACCTGGATTTAGGCATGGATGTTTGGAGGCAGACACCACGGTATGTATGTCGCCAATGTATAAGGCATTATCGTAAACGTCCTGCGGCAATCAGAATTGCACGGGCACCTAGCCCATTGAGCGCCGAGCCATTGGAAGATGGAGTACGAAATGGGAGAGTGCGGATCAAGAAACACTGGAATGGTGACAAAAAGGATGAGTTTGTGCCGGAACGGCCGAATAAGAGTGGACTGCATTTGAGTAAGACCCAGTATCAGTTTCACTTGGACATAGAAAAACCGAAGCTTTTGAGGGGAGCAAGACCGCCTCTCCCGTGGAGGCAACCTGTATGGGTTTCGAGTAAGGAGATAAAGCGACGGGAAGCACAGAGAGAGGTATCTTCGAATTTGACGACTGCGAAAGAGAGACGGAGAATGTTGAGACATCCACCGGAAAAGGAGGATAAAGAGGTGGGAGAAGAAGTAAAGGAAGAAGTAGAGGCAGATCCGGCGGTCGTAGCTGAACTATCCGAACCAGAAGTATACGAGGAGCCTACACCAGTGAGGCCACGGAGATCTGTTGTTACACTGACCAGGACTGCGCGCAGAAGTGAGCCCCTAGAAGAACTACAACCATCCAAACCATCCCTGCCCCTAGGCTTAACCCCAGAACCAAAACCACAACCGCAGCCCATTACCTCGGACGAAACACCCGAAAAGCCACCATCCGAGCATGCAGTAACCCACATGTCACTCTACCACAACAACCTCCAAGACTTCCACTGGTACTGGGAGTCCATCCCACCCACCATTGCCCAAAAATCCCAAGCAAACCACTTCTTCACCAACCACGGCAAAACCGCCAAGCTCCTCCGCAGCGTCGCCCAATTTCGCCTCTTCCCCGAATCCGACGTGCCCGAAGTCGCCTTCGTCGGCCGCTCAAACGTCGGCAAGTCCTCCCTCCTCAACACGCTCGTAAACGCCGACATCAAAGCCCTACTCGCCCGCACATCCGCAACCCCCGGTTTCACAAAAACAACGAACCTCTACGGTCTCGGGCCGGGAAACGGCGTAACGATAAAGCAGCAACCCGACGGCCGCGACAAGATCGTGGGTAAGAATGGGTTAACGATTGTTGATATGCCCGGGTACGGCGAGGGTTCCTTGGCGGCATGGGGAACGGAAATCCTAAAATACATCCAGAACCGCAAACAACTCCGTCGCGTCTTCGTCCTCATAGACGCCCAGCATGGAGTCAAAGATAAAGACCGTTCACTCCTCGCTACTTTGCGTCTCTCGGGCGTAAGCCACCAGGTCATCCTTTCCAAGCTGGATAAAATATTCATCCCGCAGGCCAAGGAGATTAAGCGGTATGATGGAAAGTCACCGCGGGTGCTGAAGCCAAAGGGCACGATGATTGGGCTGCGGCACACGATGGAGGACTTAAAGGATGATATCCAGCCGAAAGTGGGGGGTGGTGCTCTAGGAGAGCTTCTGGGGGTTAGTGCGGAGACGGTGGTGGATGGGAAGAGGTTGGGGATTGATCATGTGAGGTATGCGGTGCTCAAGGCCGTGGGACTGGACGAGCTGTTTAAGAAAGATGTCAGTACGCCGTGGGGGATGTCGAAGAAGATAGAGGGGAGGGGGAAGGTTAGACCTGTTAGGATATAGGGTGGTGGTTGTTTATTTACTTGTCTTCGCTGTGTTGTCGATTACGGAGAAGTGGGTTGGACGATATGTTCATGCCCTTGCTCGCATTTACCAGCGAGCTTTACATAGCGAGGACACTTGTTTGTCCACTATTGTATATTGTGTTCATATCAGCCAGAATACCAGTCATCTACGGCATTGCTTGCAGGCGGCTTCCATACTGCAAAAGCAATCTACTCTGTCTAAGGACTTGGTCGAGCCCTGTGACTCGTTTTGGTTTCCCATGTTGCTTCGGCACTATGCGTAGTGGTGTGTAGTATTATAATCATGATGATGAACTTGGGAGTGCCAAGAGGCCATGTATAGAATATAGGGTACCGCAGATCATTATATGGGATAAGAGGCTTTAATCTGGCTTTATGTCTTGTGGGGAGTGTGCAGCGAGCAGTATTTTTTTCGACATAGCTCACTATTGATAACTTCATGTACGGCTTCATTGGATAGAGTCTATGGTTTTAACCAGAACACTCCTTTGCTACCACAACGTCAGTCCTCATGTGTTTCCAGATTCAGAAACTCAATCGCAAGTCTGATCAGACTGCTGGGTTTTATAGGCATCGCTAATGCTCCCTGTGTTCTATTTTACTATGCGGCTAGGATACCCTTTGCAATCATGCATACGTCCATGACTAGACAATTGCGGGTACCTGCATCATTGTTGCATTTCACGCCGAACGGGAGGAGTGGGGACCCAACTGCGCTTCGGTTCGGGTCCTCTCCCCGAGCTAATGGGCGCACCTGGTGACATAAAATACTGGACAGTGTGGGTAAGCACCCAATAGACGTGTCTGGCGACTACAGTGGCTTTTTTACACTGGTATGTCCAGTATTTTATGACACCCGGGTGGGCGTGTAAACAGAGCGATACTGGGCGGACACGGGATGATTGTTTAAGACGGTTTGGGAGATGGGTCTGTGGCTGGGCTTACTAAGTGGTGGAAGCTACGGCTGGCTGTCCGTTGTTCGGTGGCGAGTATGAACCAGGAAGTAATAAGAGAGGGATATAAATGTCCTCGAGTTTCTTTTTTGGTTCCAGGCTGGACCATTCTTCCAGGAGCTTGCGCGTCTTTGACTCAGGAAGGGCTATGTGATATGTTTCGCCACTGTTTGTGTGCCCATCTTGCGAACTACTTGTTTCCAAGAGAATGCGCGGATTTCCTCGTTTTGGTCCCGACTGCGCCATTTTTTTCTGGTGAGGATTACCTGATTGGGTTTACTATGCGACAATCCTTGCCGACCACGCGAGACACGGTCCGAGACAACGATTGATCTGATGGAGACGGATACAAAGTTGGGCAGCGTTTGAGGCATATTTCCCCTAGATGGCAATGTGGAACGTGGCTTTTTTTGTCAGCACGACTTGCAACACCATGTACAGCAAACTGACCGATGGAAGTAGGAGATTTGCTTTTTCGACATAATATTCGGAGCTGCAATCGTGACTTGTGGGTGGTTGCTGAGGCATAAGCTGACAGGGGCGTGTTTGGCCCAATTTGAGATGATGTGCAGTTCGGCATTTGGGGTGCAGGTAGCTCGGATAGCTGACGGATGCTAACGCCGATCTGCGTAACGGAGGTGTGTTTACCTCGATCTATGTCACCGTTGGGTTGGTACTATACTTGGGCGAGACCTGGTCGGATGCAGCTCCAAGAGAGTACATGGCAAGCGGTGAAGACTTGCCTCCACTTTACGAGCACCGAGACGCTGGGTTCCGTAAGGTTTGTGATTGGTGTCTGGTGGCAGTTTAGAGGGGCAGAGGAGCCAGAATTATCCCCGGCTGCAGCCGTTGTCGAACGAAGGGAATAGGGTTACGGACTAGGGTTTAGTTGGGCAGACTTCCCTGTACTAACGAAGTTCGGGCGTGCATGTGTGCAGCTGGCTGTGGATGCCCTGCGTGCGACACGCGTTATAAAGGGCCGATGCGCCATTGATATAGTAGGGTAGCTATCGTGTCCACACTTTGCTGTACCCCTCTTTCTGTTGCAACTGCTGCTCCTCGCTGCCTCAGGAGCCTCAATTGATCATTCAGGGTTCCTGTTCTTCGATCCTCCCTCCCCCACCTAGATCTGCGTATACCCCCCCATTGAGCTTAGCAAAAGCTTGATTTGGCCACCGACGGAACAACCACTACATTACAATGTCTTTTTCAGCAGATAAGGTTAGCCACCTCAAGGGAGCCTTCTCCCAGCGGCGCTTTTCGAGTTCCAAGGACCCGAGTGAGAGCGGTAAGTAATTTACCATACCATGTCTTTGCTGTCAGCACGGGCGGGCCATACGTCATTCTCAGGACCTATGTCGGCACAAGGTATCGGGAGCTTCCCAATGCACAGAGATGTGGACCTGGGAAAACTGGGGCTCCAATTGAG